ATACTAGTTTGTGCTCTGATTTTAGGAGTTCTTGGGATGTAATGGGACCTCTAATGCGACTAGGCGAACCTGTCAGGACTCTTAGCACGTATGCTAGGATTCTTTGTATCCGCAGATAACTGCTGGATCTTTCAAGGATGGTGTCAAGGATGTGACTTTCTGGGACCTGATTGATAATGGCAGTCGACGAAGCAATGAGCGTGACACTATACGGGTCTTGAGGCCAGTTTTCGGCCTTACCCAACAAAAACTCTGGGCCCGTCCACCATATAGATGAACTTTTCAATTCTGTGGGCAACATACCACGCGATACAACGTCCGCAGGATTTGAGGCTCCCGGTACGTGCTGCCATTTCGAAACGTCCGTCAGTCTGAGAATCTCAGCGATTCTATGCGCGGTGAAAACGTCAAATTTAATGCGGTTTGATCTGATTTGCCCCAAAACAATCGTCGAGTCTGTCCACAAGAAATATTCCGTGACTGAGAGAGCATTTCTGATCTTGTGGGCCAACTGAGAGCCTAGAGCTGCGGCACACAATTCCAATTTGGGGATGGTGATCGACGATGTGGGAGCAATGCGCGACTTTGCCATCAGAATCTGAGACTGGCGACCATGGATATCATCCTCTGTGACCACATAAGCCACGGCACCATATGCAACTGAGCTGCTGTCGCAGAAGACATGCAACTCGGTGGACTTGGGAGACGTCAAAGTCGACATTGGGCGCTGAACTTTGATCTCCTGAAGGGTTGGAAGACCTTCGGCTAATTGTTTCCATTGGGAACTGATATGTTCCGGAAGCGGATCATCCCAATCCAACTTTTCCTCTTTCCAAAGGGCCTGCATGATCAATTTTCCGATAACGATCACTGGAGAGACGAAACCAAGAGGATCATAAAGTGACGCAATTGCCGCGAGGACTTCTCGCTTTGAATTGACGTCAATGAAATCTCGAGTGAGCTGGAAGACGAAAACATCATTCTGAGGGTGCCAAAGCATGCTTAGAGCCTTGGACTGTTCAGGAAAGATGCTGCGCACCTGTGAGGGTTCTACTTCCTCTGTGATTTCTGGACTGCTGACACACCATTTGGCGAGCGTCATGCCAGCGGAACTCAACAATTCTTTCAACTGCCGTTGAGTTTCAAGTGCATCGGAAATGGATGGGCATGATGCGAGACAATCGTCCACATAAAAATTCTCCTTCAGTGCCTTAGCAGCGAGTGGAAATTTTACCTCTTCTCTATCCGCCAGATCGATGAGGACTCTTGTCGCGAGATAAGGCGATGAACTTACGCCGAAGCAAACTCCTCTCGCCCTATAATGACGAATGGGTTCCGAATCTCGGAATCGCCACACAATGCGATGGTAGTCTTTGTGGGAGGGATGAATTAGCACCTGAGGATACATCTTCTGGATATCACAACAGAATGCAAAAGGGTGTTCTCGGAATCTGAGGAGAATTGCGACGATGTCGGGCTGAACTGTCGGGCCCACCATGGCAACATCATTCAGGCTGAGGCCTGTTTGGGATTTTGAACTGGCATTCATGACGATGCGAACTTTAACTCCTGAGGAGGACTTCTTAGCAACAGCGTGATGAGGCATATAGTAAGAAGTGGAAGTGATCTCATCTGGGGGAACCTCCTCAAAGAATCGCAAGTCGAAATTCTCCTGCATCGCAGCGTGATATTGGCTTTTTATCTCTGGGTTGGCGGACAAACGACGCTCGAGACTGAGAAATTGTCTGGTGGCATTTGGCAAATTGTTATGAAGACGCACTAAACTGGGGCGAAAGGGGATCTTCACAACATATCTTCCAGTGTCATCGCGGACAGTGGACTCTTGGAAGCAGTTCTCCACGATCTCATGATCAAGTGTCTTAGGATGGGCAGTGGAAACTTCTTCTATTTCCCAAAACTTCCGGACCGATGAGTCGATGGAGGCCAGCGTCGTTCCAACATACGCGACCTGGTCTGATTGTCGCGTCTGTGACGAGCTAGCATAGGCGCCAGAAACAACCCATCCAAAGCAGCTCTCTTTGAGAATTGGCAAGCCTTTGCCCAATCTCATTATCTGTCTGGTGAATATCTCGTTATAGAATTCGTTGCTTATCAGCAAATCAATGGGCTGAGACACATGCCATGTTGGGTCGGCAAGGGAGATCTCTGAGGGAATGGCGATCTGATCCACCTGTACCTTCCAATTAGGCAACTTTTGTTCCAACACTGCGGGAACATTTTGGCATGTCATCGAAAAATGGACATCTTGATTGTCAACTGCCTGCACACAACATTCAGCCTGGAATTTGGACTTGGCTCCACCTCCAACCACCCTCCCAATGTACACATCGGACAGAGATTTGGGCAGCCGAAGTCTTTGGAATAGGGGCTGTGAAATCAGATTGACTTGAGCTCCGGAATCCAGCAAAGCTCTGCACAGCTGCGGAACACCGAACTTATCCAAGACTCGTACCACAACCGTCTCTAGAAATACCTTCACAGCAGGGCGAGAGGCAGTGGAAGAGCCGACAATGGCTGTGGAGTCAGACTGTGAAGTGTCTGTGGGCCTATCATTCGATTGGGTCTGCTGCTGAGCAGGAGTGGATTGTGAGGACTCAGACTGAAAGGCTTCGTGCAAAAGTGTGTTGTGGTGTTTGGAGCATTTCCGGCAAGTGAAAAATGTACAATCCTTCGTCAAATGTGTCTCGGTGATACATTTTCGGCACAGTTTGTTGTTCCTGACAAGTTCCAGACGTTCTATGGAGGGCATGGCAATGAACTTGTGACACTTGAACAACTTGTGGCCTTCTTTTTTGCATCCAGGACAAGGAGATTGTGCAGTGGCAGAGAGAACTGTGGCTTTTTGTGGCTTGAGATTCTTATTGCTGTTTGGGCCAGCTGGAGTGGACTTGGTGGCCTGAGATGAGGATTTGGCCGGGTAAGAATTACACTGTGCAATGGACTTTAGTCTCTCTCTCAGAAACTGCAAGAATTGGACCATCGTTGGTGATTGACTCTTAACCTCGCGAGACCACAGAACTTGGGTTTCATGGTCGAGCTTCTCCAAAAGCAAATAAATGACCCACGGATCTCTTTCCTTGACATCAAGTGCGTCGAGGGAATTTAAAACTGAATTGGCGGTGGCAAAAAGATCCGTAAGAGCATCAACTGAGGAAGTGGAAATTGCTGGCATCGTGCAAAAGCGCGCAATGTGATGATGCACAACAGACTGCTGATCGTCATATTGTCCCACTAATGTGTCCCACGCAACAGAATAATTGGCATCTGTGATGGCCAAACTATCAATCAACTTCTTCGCATTTCCCTTGATTGAGGAGACCAAATATTGCATACGTTGCACATCAGTGAGGCGAGGGTTAAGATGAACAATGCTGCTGAACATGTCTTTAAAGTGATGCCAGACAGTGTAATCACCGGAAAATTCTGGGACCGTTAACACAGGGAGCTTCAAATGGGACTGATTTCTGACGTCGTGTGGTTCTAACCGTGAACTGAGGGCCACTACATTGGTCAGCTTATCAAAAAAGCTCTGATTGCGCACCTCTGCTTGTGCTTGATGAGTAATGAGCATGGCAAGAGCTTTTTCTAAATTAGCAATTGACGAATCACCAGAAATTTGAGCTGATGGCTGATGATTAGAGCCAGAAGGGCCAGGGATGGGCAAAGGATCATCATTATCATCCTTCCGGTCCAAAGCATCACCCAAAATTCTCCTCAACTGACTAATTCGCTCCATGATTCTCGAGTGCTCCTCATATTCAGTCACCGAATTATTTCCCGTATTCACTAGCTCTTCATGAACCATTGTGAGTTGAGCTTTAAGGTCATCAAGTTTAGTTATGTTGGAGGCAATATCTGTAGCCGAAAAGGAAGCCTCATCCTTGCGAACGGAATCAACATAATTTTCAATGCGAGTCAGGTGACCCTTAAGTGTTGCTCTTTTGCTCAGGAGAGTCATGATTAATCAGGGTGAGAGCGAAAGGAAAAAAGATGGGAATTGCACAAATTTTCACTCTACACTGTTACAACTTACTTGGCGTGTGAAGATTGATACGGCAGAGCTGAATGGCGGCGTGGACTGCACTTGGTCACCGCAAAAGCTGGTGGACGCCTTCGCAAATTGGTCGGCGTTGCCTCGAAGGGCCAAAATGGGTGGGCACCAACCTGCAATTGTTCACTTATTTAGCCTATCTGGCTTGAAGGGCAAAAATGGGTGGGCACCAACCTGCAATTGTTCACTTATTTAGCCTATGTGGCTCGGAGGGCAAAAATTTTTCTCCCCCTCTGGTGGCACAGCTTGGGTGATCGGTGGAGGTGTAAAAAAGATATTCCACTTCACTTAGAACGAATATATTTAAACTTTCTACACTTCAAATGGCAAAAGTTGCTGAATTGGAATTTAATTATTCAATAATTGTGTATAAGTCGCGATGTGGTACGCTGGATGGTCTGGTAAAGAGTGGTGAAGGCAAAATTACACAAGAGACAAATAGATTAAATTTTGGTGCGGCACCAACCTGCAATTGTTCACTTATTAGCCTATCCGGCTCGAAGGACCAAAATGGATGGGCACCAACCTGCAATTGTTCACTTATTAGCCTATGTGGCTCGGAGGGCAAAAATTTTTCTCCCCCTCTGGTGGCACAGCTTGGCTGATGGATGAGATGAAATGATGAGCGGCGGAGGTGAAAAAAAGAGACTTTTGCACTTCACTTAAACTACTTGTATTGCAAATTTCTACACTTCAAATGGCAAAGTTTCTGACTTGGGAATTTTACTATAACTTCAATAAATTGTATAATCACGATGTTTATCAGTTGGTACTGTATGCGTGGTATAAGAGTGAGGAAACAAAATCACAAACAGAGAGAGCAAATAGATAAAATTTTGGTGCCCGAGCGGGACTTGATAAAGCACTGTTTTTCTTATCGTGGCGATGGCGTGAAGCGCATTCGACGATATTTCTGCACTGAAATGCGTCAACATCCTGGGGGGGCCGATGATGAGGGCGGGAGTCCCTCGATGGGCAAGTTGGACAGCCTCTGAACTGCCCTTTTGTATTTACCCCTTGCTGTCCTGATCGTGACGACTCTGCATCGTCCATCTCTGCCCGGATGAAGCTCCTCGATGATGCCCATTGGCCCTTGATGTGTGGCCATTGAATCGTCGCCGATGAGAACGATATCGCCAATCTTCAAATTGTCCGCTTCCTGCGTCCATTTGACTCTCTTCTGGAGAAGATGGAGATATTCTTTCCTCCAACGATGGGCGAAGTGCTGCAGAATCTTCTGGCAAAGTTGCCATCTGGAGAGGCGATTTGGCGCAACATCTGTGAGCGTCTGATCCGGGAGCGCGTTCAGTGGGCGTCCCACTAAAAAGTGACCAGGAGTCAATGCGAACATCTCATTTGGATCCTCGGAGAGTGGCGTGATTGGTCTGCTATTGAGGATGGCTTCGATCTGTGCTACGATGGTGTTCAACTCCTCAAATGTGAGAATAGTCTGTCCAACTTCTCTGGCTAAGTGATGTTTGAGGGACTTGATCGCCGCCTCATAAAGTCCGCCATGATGAGGAGATCTTGGTGGCGCGAAGTGCCAATTGATGCCCTTGGGAGCTGCCTCTAAAACAACGTCTGGCGATGACTGGATGTCTCGCAGGAACTTTGCCAACTCTGCGCGGGCTCCGCGAAAATTGGTGGCATTATCGCAGAAGATGTCGCTTGGAGCAGCTCTCCTGGCCGCGAATCTCCGCAGCGCAGCGACGAAGCCCTCGGATGAGAGACTGCCGACAACTTCCAGGTGAATGGCTTTCGTCGTGAAGCAGACAAAGGCGCAAATGTACGTCTTATATGATGTACCTCCTCTCTTGTAGCTAGGACGCGTGAGGACTGGGCCGCAGAAATCGATGCCACACACTTTGAATGGAGCCACGTGATCTGTCCTACTCGTGGGAAGATCTCCCATTCTCTGCTCCTGTCGGATCGGCTTGGTTTTCCAGCACACAACACATGAGCGAGCGACGTTTCTGGTCAGATTTCTTCCTCCCAGCGGCCAATATTTCTGACGCAGAGTGGCCAGAAGCAGTTGTGGTCCCGCGTGCATGTTGTTCTTGTGTGTGTGGGTGGCGATGATCGTGGCGAGGCGACACTTGGGCAGAAGAATTGGATGGCGGGCATCGTAGTTTGCAGGCGATTGAGCCAGTCGGCCACCCACTCTGATGATTCCCTCTCCATCAATGAAGGGAGTCAAGTGGCGCACATGGGCGAACCTCCTGCTGGTCCACATGGTGCCATCGGCAATGGCTGATCTCACTTCTGCCAAGTGTTGAGCTTGTGCAAAAGATACTAGTTTGTGCTCTGATTTTAGGAGTTCTTGGGATGTAATGGGACCTCTAATGCGACTAGGCGAACCTGTCAGGACTCTTAGCACGTATGCTAGGATTCTTTGTATCCGCAGATAACTGCTGGATCTTTCAAGGATGGTGTCAAGGATGTGACTTTCTGGGACCTGATTGATAATGGCAGTCGACGAAGCAATGAGCGTGACACTATACGGGTCTTGAGGCCAGTTTTCGGCCTTACCCAACAAAAACTCTGGGCCCGTCCACCATATAGATGAACTTTTCAATTCTGTGGGCAACATACCACGCGATACAACGTCCGCAGGATTTGAGGCTCCCGGTACGTGCTGCCATTTCGAAACGTCCGTCAGTCTGAGAATCTCAGCGATTCTATGCGCGGTGAAAACGTCAAATTTAATACGGTTTGATCTGATTTGCCCCAAAACAATCGTCGAGTCTGTCCACAAGAAATATTCCGTGACTGAGAGAGCATTTCTGATCTTGTGGGCCAACTGAGAGCCTAGAGCTGCGGCACACAATTCCAATTTGGGGATGGTGATCGACGATGTGGGAGCAATGCGCGACTTTGCCATCAGAATCCGAGACTGGCGACCATGGATATCATCCTCTGTGACCACATAAGCCACGGCACCATATGCAACTGAGCTGCTGTCGCAGAAGACATGCAACTCGGTGGACTTGGGAGACGTCAAAGTCGACATTGGGCGCTGAACTTTGATCTCCTGAAGGGTTGGAAGACCTTCGGCTAATTGTTTCCATTGGGAACTGATATGTTCCGGAAGCGGATCATCCCAATCCAACTTTTCCTCTTTCCAAAGGGCCTGCATGATCAATTTTCCGATGACAATCACTGGAGAGACGAAACCAAGAGGATCATAAAGTGACGCAATTGCCGCGAGGACTTCTCGCTTTGAATTGACGTCAATGAAATCTCGAGTGAGCTGGAAGACGAAAACATCATCCTGAGGGTGCCAAAGCATGCCTAGAGCCTTGGATTGTTCAGGAAAGATGCTGCGCACCTGTGAGGGCTCTACTTCCTCTGTGATTTCTGGACTGCTGACACACCATTTGGCGAGCGTCATGCCAGCGGAACTCAACAATTCTTTCAACTGCCGTTGAGTTTCAAGCGCATCGGAAATGGATGGGCATGATGCGAGACAATCGTCCACATAAAAATTCTCTTTCAGTGCCTTGGCAGCGAGTGGAAATTTTACCTCTTCTCTATCCGCCAGATCGATGAGGACTCTTGTCGCGAGATAAGGCGATGAACTTACACCGAAGCAAACTCCTCTTGCCCTATAATGACGAATGGGTTCCGAATCTCGGAATCGCCACACAATGCGATGGTAGTCTTTGTGGGAGGGATGAATTAGCACCTGAGGATACATCTTCTGGATATCACAACAGAATGCAAAAGGGTGTTCTCGGAATCTGAGGAGAATTGCGACGATGTCGGGCTGAACTGTCGGGCCCACCATGGCAACATCATTCAGGCTGAGGCCTGTTTGGGATTTTGAACTGGCATTCATGACGATGCGAACTTTAACTCCTGAGGAGGACTTCTTAGCAACAGCGTGATGAGGCATATAGTAAGAAGTGGAAGTGATCTCATCTGGGGGAACCTCCTCAAAAAATCGCAAGTCGAAATTCTCCTGCATCGCAGCGTGATATTGGCTTTTTATCTCTGGGTTGGCGGACAAACGACGCTCGAGACTGAGAAATTGTCTGGTGGCATTTGGCAAATTGTTATGAAGACGCACTAAACTGGGGCGAAAGGGGATCTTCACAACATATCCTCCAGTGTCATCGCGGACAGTGGACTCTTGGAAGCAGTTCTCCACGATCTCATGATCAAGGGTCTTAGGATGGGCAGTGGAAACTTCTTCTATTTCCCAAAACTTCCGGACCGATGAGTCGATGGAGGCCAGCGTCGTTCCAACATACGCGACCTGGTCTGATTGTCGCGTCTGTGACGAGCTAGCATAGGCGCCAGAAACAACCCATCCAAAGCAGCTCTCTTTGAGAATTGGCAAGCCTTTGCCCAATCTCATTATCTGTCTGGTGAATATCTCGTTATAGAATTCGTTGCTTATCAGCAAATCAATGGGCTGAGACACATGCCATGTTGGGTCGGCAAGGGAGATCTCTGAGGGAATGGCGATCTGATCCACCTGTACCTTCCAATATAGGCAACTGTTTAGTATCCAACTACTGGCGGAAACCCTGTGCTGTGCATGTCCATCGAAAAATGGACGTCTTGATTGTCGACTATGCTGCCACCAACATTCAGCTGGATTTGGACTTAGCTCCGACCTCCGAACCAACCTCCCCTGTACAGAGCCACAAAAGGGGGGTGGGAGGGAGGGAATGGGAGTTCCGTCGACATAGTGATTTGAGGCAAGGTGCCGAAGTCTTTGGAATAGGGGCTGTGAAATCAGATTGACTTGAGCTCCGGAATCCAGCAAAGCTCTGCACAGCTGCGGAACACCGAACTTATCCAAGACTCGTACCACAACCGTCTCTAGAAATACCTTCACAGCAGGGCGAGAGGCAGTGGAAGAGCCGACGATGGCTGTTTGAGGGTCCCAGACTGTGAAAGTGTCCTGTGGGGTGGCACTATGCAATTCGATTGGGTCCGCTGCTGAGTCAGAGTGGATGTGAGGGACTCAGACTTGAAGTGGCTTCGTGCAAGAAGTGGTGTTGCTGGTGTTTGGAGGTCATTTCCGGGCGTAGTGAAAAGTACACTCGCTTCGTCCAAATGGTGTCCTCGGTGATACATTTTCAAGGCACAGTTTGTTGTTCCTACGAATTTCCAATACGTTCTATTTTAGTGGCAATTGCAATGACTTTGTGACACTTGAACGCACTTGTTGCCTTCCTTTGCATCCCAGGCCAAGGAGATTGTGCAGTTGGCAGAATAACTGTGGCTTTTTGTGGCTTGAGATTCTTATTGCTGTTTGGGCCAGCTGGAGTGGACTTGGTGGCCTGAGATGAGGATTTGGCCGGGTAAGAATTACACTGTGCAATGGACTTTAGTCTCTCTCTCAGAAACTGCAAGAATTGGACCATCGTTGGTGATTGACTCTTAACCTCGCGAGACCACAGAACTTGGGTTTCATGGTCGAGCTTCTCCAAAAGCAAATAAATGACCCACGGATCTCTTTCCTTGACATCAAGTGCGTCGAGGGAATTTAAAACTGAATTGGCGGTGGCAAAAAGATCCGTAAGAGCATCAACTGAGGAAGTGGAAATTGCTGGCATCGTGCAAAAGCGCGCAATGTGATGATGCACAACAGACTGCTGATCGTCATATTGTCCCACTAATGTGTCCCACGCAACAGAATAATTGGCATCTGTGATGGCCAAACTATCAATCAACTTCTTCGCATTTCCCTTGATTGAGGAGACCAAATATTGCATACGTTGCACATCAGTGAGGCGAGGGTTAAGATGAACAATGCTGCTGAACATGTCTTTAAAGTGATGCCAGACAGTGTAATCACCGGAAAATTCTGGGACCGTTAACACAGGGAGCTTCAAATGGGACTGATTTCTGACGTCGTGTGGTTCTGGCCGTGGACTGTGGGCCACTACATTGGTCAGCCTATCGAAAAAGTTCTGATTGCGCACCTCTGCTTGTGCTTGATGGGTAATGAGCATGGCAAGAGCTTTTTCTAAATTAGCAATTGACGAATCACCAGAAATTTGAGCTGATGGCTGATGATTAGAGCCAGAAGGGCCAGGGATGGGCAAAGGATCATCATTATCATCCTTCCGGTCCAACGCATCACCCAAAATTCTCCTCAACTGACTAATTCGCTCCATGATTCTCGAATGCTCCTCATATTCAGTCACCGAATTATTTCCCGTATTCACTAGCTCTTCATGAACCATTGTGAGTTGAGCTTTAAGGTCATCAAGTTTAGTTATGTTGGAGGCAATATCTGTAGCCGAAAAGGAAGCCTCATCCTTGCGAACGGAATCAACATAATTTTCAATGCGAGTCAGGTGACCCTTAAGTGTCGCTCTTTTGCTCAGGAGAGTCATAATTAATCAGGGTGAGAGCGAAAGGAAAAAAGATGGGAATTGCACAAATTTTCACTCTACACTGTTACAACTTACTTGGCGTGTGAAGATTGATACGGCAGAGCTGAATGGCGGCGTGGACTGCACTTGGTCACCGCAAAAGCTGGTGGACGCCTTCGCAACTTGGACGGCGTTGCCTCGAAGGGCCAAAATGGGTGGGCACCAACCTGCAATTGTTCACTTATTAGCCTATGTGGCTCGGAGGGCAAAAATGGGTGGGCACCAACCTGCAATTGTTCACTTATTAGCCTATGTGGCTCGGAGGGCAAAAATTTTTCTCCCCCTCTGGTGGCACAGCTTGGCTGATGGATGAGATGAAATGATGAGCGGCGGAGGTGAAAAGAATAGACTTTTGCACTTCACTTAAACTAATTATATTGAAAATTTTTCACACTTCAGAGGGCAAATGTTGCGGTTTTGTAAATTTAATAATTCAATAATTGGCACAAATCGCGATGTGGATTGTTGGACTGTCTGGTTAAGAGAGAGGAAACAAAATCACACAAGAGACAATTAGATTAAATTTTGGTGCCCGAGCGGGACTTGATAAGCAACTGGTTTTTCTTATCTCGATGGCGTGAAGCGCATTCGACGATATTTCTGCACTGAAATGCGTCAACACTTGGCATGATCCGGAAGGTGAGAGTTTTGGATTCTTCCTCCAACTCTGATAAGCCCATCTTCAAGGTATGGATTAAGATCCTTAATTTTGCTCTTGTTTGGCAGTGGCTTATTGGTTTGGAGCGCCTTGAGTTCTTCTGATAAGAATGTTGCTTGAATCATTCCAAAGACTCTTAGCTTTGCCTTCTGGATTTCTGTGGCAGTAGGGCTACCTTTGACCCTTTTTTCTGGAGATTTGCGCGAATTATCAGCAAATCTGAGTAGCGTCGCAATGACCAGGACAAATCTCCTGAAGGAAGAAAACTTATTCAGGAAAGTTTCTGTTGCCTGAGGTGGCTCTGGGACTGACTCTAAGGCTGCCATTACTGTTGCGGTGGAGTTCATTACGTTCAGTGTAAAAAGACAGCCGGTACCTTCTAAAAGCGCGTCATCAAAGTCTTTGAGGTGCTTGTTCCTGATTGAAGGCCACATGTGTTGGGGATGGCGTAGCCAGATTGGGCCGCCCCACCAGCGCTTATGGGAAGCTAGCAGCGCTGCAGTGGTACCTCGTGAGGCTATGTCAGCTGGATTCTCTTCGGTTTCAACATGACCCCAGATGTCTCTCGGAATTGCCTTGTGAATCTTAGCTACTCTGTGGGCTACATATGTGTTCCATGTAGAAGGATCTCTTTTGATCCAAGCAAGAGTAATCATGCTGTCTGTCCATGCATGGATTGCATCTGGTCTTATCTCAAGGCTTTGAAGGGTGGTTTTCATTAGGTTGGCGAGAAGTACTGCGGCGGAAAGCTCCATTCTTGGGAGTGTTATGTGTCCCTTCACTGGAGCTACTTTAGTTCTGGCTGTGAGTAGGAAGACAGTGGTTTTGTTGTTAACCGTGGTTCTCATGTAGACGCAGGCGGCACTAGCCTTTGTTGATGCATCTGCAAAGCCGTGAATTTCAACCCTCGCTTCTGGGGTGTAGTTTGTCCAGCGAGGTATTTGGATGGTTTCGATATTCTTGATGTCGGCCCGGAAATCTCGCCACATCCTAATGACGGTGTCGGAGGGTTTAAAGTCCCAGTCAATTTCTTCCTTCCAGATAAGTTGTATGATGAGTTTTGCACGAAGTATCACAGGTGCAAGCCAGCCTATTGGGTCAAAGATTGAGGCTGTTTCGGAGACAATGCTTCGTTTTGTTAGGACCTCCTTCTTGTTCAGGTTGATTTTGAATTGAAATATGTCCTTTAGTGGACACCAGTAGACGCCAAGCTCCTTGATCGTGTCTTCTTCTTTGAGAAGTATTGATCCCTTTTCTCGGAGATGATCAGGAATTGCAGCCATGAGCTCTGGACAATTGCTAGTCCATTTCAGCAAGTTCATTTTGCCAAGTTTAAGCAGCTCAATGATTTCATGATATAGCGCTTTGGCATCTTGCAGTGAGTGGGTACCTGTTAGCAAATCATCGACATAGAAGTCTTGCCTTAGGATTTTGGAAGCCCTTGGAAAACGATGTTCCTCATCTGCTGCGAGTTGATGCAGTACCCTTACCGAAAGGTAAGTGGCTGGTCCACTCCCATAAGTGACTGTGTTGAGTTGGAATTCTTGGATGCATTGACGGGGATTATCTCTGTAGAGAATACGATGATAATCACGATCTTCAGGATGAAGAAAGATTTGGCGGAACATTTTTTCAATATCTGCCGTATAGACATAGGCGTATTTTCTCCATCTTGTTAGGATGTTCGGTAGATCCTGTTGGAGCTTTGGTCCTGTGTGGAGGAGGTTGTTGAGAGATAGTCCTGAGTTGGTTTTGGCTGATCCATCGAAGACAACTCGTGTTTTTGTGGTTGTACTGTCAGCCTTGAAGACAGCATGATGTGGTAGGAAGTACACCTTTTCGGGGGGACCGGTGTAATTGGGAACCGCTGTCATGTGTCCAAGTTCCAGATACTCTGTCATGAACTCGATAGGACTTCTTTAAGGTCTCATTTAGTTATATGAAGAATGTAAATATGTATCTGTGAGCACTGCAGAGCGGTGCATCGGAGAATTGCATCGAAGAGAGCGAGTAGAATTAAATAGATCGTGAAACCTACAGCACGTGTTTTGGTTCTCAGCAATTATAAAACCTTAATTGGCGCAGTCGGAAAAAGTTAAGATTTTGGAAAAGAAGGATCATCTTAATTCAGGAACTTAACTAAAACATCTCCCAATCGGAAAATCTAAATGAAAAAGTGAAAAGTTTAAACAAAATAGTTAAGTGCAACATTTTCTTAAGAAAATATAAAATAAGGCGCATAAAATAGAAAGACTAAGTGAACTAAATAAGTTAAAAAGCAATAAGAAGAGAATTATTTCGAATTTAAACAGAAGAAAGTTAGAAAATTTAAAATTTTAAAGAGATAAATCCCAAATTAAATAGAGTGTGCAGAGAAAAGAACGAAGCAAATTGAGTGAAAAGACGCAATAACTTGGTGAAGCCAGACGCTGAGCAAGCAAAACGTGTGCGGTGTCTGATTCCCTTCCACAAAGAATTTCTGCGCATTTTACTCCTTGGCTGTGCGGAAAATTTGTACACGCGCAAGCCCGCTCAACAAATTGGTGCGGAGCAGAGGCTGTTCGATAAATTCGTGCAAGCAGAGGCTGTTCGAGAAGTTGGTGCAAGCGGAGCAGAGGCTGTTCGATAAATTCGTGCAAGCAGAGGCTGTTCGAGAAGTTCGTGCAAGCTGAGGCTGTTCGACAAATAGGTGCAAAGCAGAGTCTGCTCAACAAATTGGTGCAACACAGAGGCGGTTCGAGAACTTCGTGCAGAGCATCAAGCCACTCGTGAAACCAACATTGCCAGAGGCGGTTCGAGAACTTCGTGCAGAGCATCAAGCCACGTGTGAAACCAACATTGCCAACTTTTACTCCAACTAACAACCAGGATGATTTGGCCGAAATTAATATTGTGAGAAACTTCGATCTAAATTTATCGGGAAATTTTTTTTACATAATTTTACTAATCTTAAACTAATTAAATGAATACTTAAGTGAACTAATTTTACTATTAATTTTACTAAATTTTTTTTTAATACTAAACAATTTTTTTTCTAACATTCTTTCTACATACTTATAAACTTTAAACTAAACTTACCTTTAAATTTCAAACCTTTTAACTATAAATTTTATTTTTTTTTAAACATAAAGTACTTATAAAATTTTTATTTCCATTAAATTTTAATAAGAAGGGTTTAACAGATATAATTAAATTTAAATTACTTTACTGAATAATTTTTACTATAATATATTCGTATCAGATCTAATTACTTTTAAATTAATTAAGGGAACAATTTTACTATATTTTATTTTAATGCCTTTTTTTCTCTTTTTTTTATATATATCCTTGAATGGAAGACAATTTTGACGAAATACACAATCAAAGAGTACGAGCTATTCTGAACCAAACTTCTACTCCAAACAACAATATGGAGAACGCGAACGCGAACGTGACCCCACCACCCAACCAATCAACCCAAGCCCAACTTGCTTTAATGAATGAAATTCAGATCGCTTTGAAGATTCCTGATGTGTTTAAGCATCTCCCAACATACGATGGTAGTCCAGAACTATTGTTTGATTTCATTGAGAATGTTGAAGAGATCCTTAAACCGCTCGAAAATTTCAAAAGTCTTCCCGCGTACAATATCTGGTTGAGACACATTAGAAACAAAATCGTGGGAAATGCTCATAAAACTTTGGCCGCTTACACAACAGTGCTTAATTGGGAAGTGATTAAAAGCACTTTAATCGCCCACTATTCTGATAAGCGAAACGAAACATCGCTTATTCGCGATTTGCATTACCTTTACCAATCAGGAACTGTTGAAGATTTTTATAGCAAGATAATTGAAGTTCATTCACACCTTGCTAATCAAGTACGCATTCACGAATCAACTGAACAGGGTCGCACTTCTAAATTGGCACTATACAAAGAAATGTGCTTGAATGTATTCATGGGTGGATTGAAAGAGCCAATGGGTTCAAATATCCGTGCTCGTGGTCCAAGTTCTTTGAAAGAGGCGTTTGAATTTTGCCTCATTGAACAGAATATTTCTTACTCAAAGCGTCCAAATCGCATTATTGGGCCAAATTTGCCGACCAATACTCGCGGTCAAATTGGGATTGGAGTGTCTGGAAGAAATGTTCCTCAACCCTCAATTTTCACGCAAGCGAATCACCAGTTTGGATTTCAAGGAAATCCACAAACAATCGCAACTCCACAGCGATTCCAGTTTGGATTCCAAGGAAATCCACAAGCATTCGCAACTCCACAGCGATTCCCCTTACCAGTTGGTAATCGCACGAACCACTTCCGTCCTACTAGTTCTGGAAACAATAAACCAGTTCCCATGGATGTGGATAAATCCAGTATTGCAAAGAGAACTGGGTTCGTCCCAAATCGCCAACAGTGGACACCGATTCCAAATTCCTTTGCGAATCGCCCACAACAGGGCCCGAACACGAATTTTTTCTCTAATCGGCAACAACAACCTCCCAATTTTACGTTCGAAGAACTGCGGAATCTGGAAACCCAGGAAGCTCTTCCCAGTCTTCCTGTTAGTCTCGGAGATTTTGTCACAGACCTTAACGCATATCAGTGTAATGATTACGACTCCCAAGTAACAGTCGACGGAGAGAGTGTCGACGAGATTGATGATGGTTTGGAGGATTTTCAGACCGAATCCTCCAACCAGAAAATTTCTTAGACGTCAACTTCACTGAAATATGTTCTGTCCTACCCTATATCAACATCTCGTCTTCAATTGGCACTCTAAAATTTCTAATTGATACTGGAGCATCAGCCAGTTTGATTGACCCTCGAGTTATTTCATCTGATTTTCCTATCACGAAACACGAGAAAATTCACATGAAATCCGTTATCGGGAGTCATTACTTACATGAATCCGTTGAGTTAAAGCCCTTTCTCGAATTTAATCACCCCGACGAACAACCCTTCAGGTTTTTCGTCCACAAATTTCACAACTATTTTGACGGCTTGATTGGATGGGACATATTAAAGCATGTAAATGCATCAGTAAACGTCAGACACAAAATCTTACACTTACCGAACGCAAGATTGCGTATTTTTGAAAAACCCAACATGAGATCACAGAGACAGTCTACGTTACCTAAGAGTCAAACGTTCGTTAGTATTCCGGTAGATAAAAAGGAAGGCGATGTAGTAGTACGAGAAACTTTTGTCGGAAATTATTTCAAAATTCCAGGAGGAATCTATCGTGCAAAAAAATGGCGAATTCAAGCCACAGTCGAAAATTTTTCAGATGAATCTCGCGTATTCTATTTGGATCAACCTCTTAAGGTTGAACACGCAGAACGTCAGTTTCACGTGGTCGAACTTCATAACATAGAATTCATTGACGATGTCAAGGACGAATTCATGTCCGAATTTGGGAAAAAGCTTAGGTTAGACCACCTGAATTCTGAAGAAAGACTTGGACTATTAAAAATCTGTAGCAAATTTCGATCTATTTTTTCATCTGACAATACTGAATGTGCAACAGATGGTCAGATTACTCATCGTATTAATACTACAGATGATATCCCTGTCTATTCGAAAAATTTTCGTTACCCCCATTTTCACAAGGAAGAAATCAAAAATCAGATTTTGAAAATGTTAAAAGATCAAATCATTCGTCACAGTAGCTCACCATGGTCAAGCCCTATTTGGTTGGTTCCCAAGAAATTGGATGCTAGCGGAAAACGTAAGTGGCGTCTTGTCGTAGATTTTCGTAAAGTCAACGAAAAGACGGTTTCCGACCGCTATCCCATTCCTAATGTCACTGACATTTTAGATAAATTGGGAAAGTGCATGTACTTTACCGTTATTGACATGGGTTGGAGGCTTTCACCAAATCGCAGTTCATGAAAAAGACATTCCTAAGACAGCGTTTTCGGTAGAAAACGGGCATTACGAGTTTTTACGAATGCCATTCGGACTCAAAAATGCTCCTGCCACTTTTCAGAGACTTATGGACAATGTCTTACGGGGACTTCAAGGACAAACTTGTTTCGTCTATATGGACGACATTGTAGTGTATTCCACATCCCTTCAGGAACACCTTCAAAATTTAACGGATGTTTTCAAGAGACTCCAGTCTGCCAAACTTCGGGTACAGTTGGATAAATGTGAATTCCTTAAACGTGAGACAGCATTTTTGGGTCATATCATTACGACCGAAGGTGTAAAACCTAACCCAAGTTTGATCAAAGATATTGTTAATTATCCGATCCCCGTAAATCAACATGACGTCAAATCGTTCTTAGGTCTCGTTGGATATTATAGGAAGTTTATCCAAGATTTTGCTCATATCACTAAGCCTCTAACGGCAACCCTAAAAAAGGATAAGACTGTGAGACACACCCCCGAATTCCTTCAAGCGATAAAAGTGTGTAAACACTTAATGACCACCGATCCCATACTCGCGTATCCTGATTTCACAAAGCCTTTCAAGTTAACTACAGACGCGTCTAACGTGGCCCTAGGTGCCGTCCTTTCTCAAGGTCCTGTAGGAAGGGATCGACCTATTTGTTACGCATCTCGTACCTTAACGGAAACTGAACAAAAATACTCCACTATCGAAAAGGAGTTACTTGCGATAGTGTGGGCTACAAAGTATTTTAGACCTTACCTATACGGTTATAATTTTCAACTCTTTACAGACCACAAACCACTTACATGGTTGTTTTCCATTAAGGAACCGAATTCTAAATTGTTGAGATGGCGCTTGAAACTCATGGAGTTTCAAAATAATATGGAGATCGTGTATAAACCAGGAAAAACTAATACTAATGCTGACGCACTTTCTCGAGTAATTATAGAAAATCATGTTCTTGAGGAGGATTCTGAAGATGATAGCGATACTGTTCACAGTGGTTCTGAAGATAGTGCCGACTTGATTCCCATTTCGGAAACTCTCCTTAATGACTTTGGAAACCAAATTGTGTTTTTGAAATCTGATGATGACCCTTCCGAGAAATTTGAAATCTTGTACCGAACTAAAAGAAGATATACTTTTCGATTTATCGATTATGATTCCGAGTTGATTAAACACTTGTTAAAAATTTCAATGACTCCAAAGAAAACATGTGGAATATATTGTCCTGACAATAATCTTTTCCTGAAAATCCAAGAGGTCTATAAAGAATTCTTTTCGCGGGGGAGGATGTTTAAGCTGATTAAATGTCCCAGATTCGTTGAAGACGTCACGGAAGAAAGAGAAAAAGACAAAATCGTGTCAGAGCAACATGACCTTAACGGTCACAGAGGAATAAGTGAAGTATATGATCATATACGTCGGAAATATTACTTTCCAGAAATGAAATCCAAAATTTCGAAATACATCAATAATTGCCGAATTTGTAAAGAAAATAAATATTGCAGAAACCCCCCAAAACCAAAATTTGAGTTAACGGAAACTCCGACCCGACCTCTTGAGATTGTCCATGGGGATGTTTTTTACGTCAATCGTCAAAATTTTTACCTCACTCTAATTGATAAATTTTCCAAGTATGCTCAAGCATACAAATTGGAATCGCGAAATAGTCTGCATGTGAAAGAATGCATGGCAAGATTTATGGCGAGTTACAACAAACCGAAAAAGTTAATATTGGACCAAGAAAGCGGGTTCAACTCGATTGAATTTAAGAATTTTTGTGACGATTGCAAAATTGACCTTCATATAACTTCGGTTAAAGGGCACACTTCTAATGGTCCTATAGAAAGATTCCACTCCACGCTACTTGAACTTTTACGGATCGTAAATGAAAACGAGTCGTTCAATGAATACAGCATTGACAGTAAGATAAATCAATGTCTCTTTTTCTATAACAATTCAATTCATTCGGTCACGAAACATACCCCTTTTGAATTATTCTTTGGTCGAAGATATGACGAACAACTTACACCGAATTTGGAAATTCTAATGAAACACCAGACTGAGCTGTATGACAAAGTCTCCCCAATCATTTACAGACGAAAAAAGGAGACGATTGAAAAATTAAACAAAAACAGAGATCCACCTATAGCTTACGATCCGGACAAACCTATTTACGTGATAAAAGACAGACGAACAAAACAGACCCCAAAATTTAGACGAACGAAAATCAAGACACAACAAAAACTGACAATCCATGACGAGACAAACAGAAAATTACACAAACAGACGCTTCTTAAACCTAATACTAAATAAAAAAAAAAAAAAATTAATTATCTTTACAGAACTTTAATAATCGGAGTAGTATCTCAAAAAATGGAGGTGGTAGATTTGACGGAGAACTCAGGACTATTAGGCTTTAATATCGGAGAAGGAAAAGTCATAAACGATTACATTAAATTATATCACATTTTGGACCTGGACGATTATCAAAATTGCGTTTTCAATTTGGAATCATCATTATTAAAGCTAAAAGATTTAAATAACGGAATGTTAACTTTATTAGAAAGTCGAGTAAAGTTATTAAAAGACACTCTTAAAGGGATATATCCTATCAAGAGAGAAAAAAGAGGTTTATTAAACATAGTTGGATCTGGTATCAAATTTTTAACAGGAAATATGGATCATGAAGATGCTTGTAAAATTTACAATGAAATAGAAATTTTAAAAGAGAATACAAAAAGATTAATAAATGAAAATAATGTCCAGATAGACCTAAACGATGTTCTTATTGAAAAATATAATAACTTAACTGATATTGTAAACGAACAACAAACACACATCAAGAAAATTTTGGAATTAAATAACTTAGAAAATCTAAATTTTATGGAAAAAATAGAAATGAATCACAATGGTTATATGCTGATGTTTCAAATTGATATTTTGCAAAGTCATCTGGATCTTATAAGTGATGTTATTTTGGTTTCAAAAACTGGTGTAATATCAAAGCACATATTTGATGAAAAAGAACTAAAATTTATCTATGAAAAATTGAAAAATCATATCTATCTATCATCTTATGAGGAAATATACGAATATTGTTCCCTTCAGGCTTATTATAATAACACAAAAATTGTTTTTCGAGTAAAAGTCCCAAAGTTTACTAATGAAAAGTTTGAAATGATTCAATTGGAATCATTACCAACAAAAAATAATCTTACAATTACACCTCCATATCCTTATGGTATGGTTGGAGAAAAAGTTACCTATTATTCATCAACAAAATGTCCAAAAATTAATAGAGTTTATATATGTTACTATAAAGATTTAATCCAACTAAAGGAAGATTCATGTTTTAATAATATTATCAGAGGAAATCAAGGAAATTGTAGTTTCAGAAACGATGAACAAGGTTCAGTCGAACTCATCAGTGAGCAATATATTATTGTGAAAAATACCAAAATACTAAACTTTGAAAATTCTTGTAATAAGATAAAAGAAATCAATTTAACAACGTTTTTAATAAAATTTAATAATTGCAGTTTAATAATAAATAATAAAAGTTTTGTTGATGAGTCTGTTCAATTCTATTCGCCCAAGAAAATTTTACCATTGCATAACATTAAATTCTACTTCGCTCCTTCTCTTTCGATGATCACTACTTGTAGTCCCTCTTTCCGTGCTTGCTTAACCACACTTTCAACGGTTTTAATTTTAAAACAGTCGTCTAATCGACGACGAGGCCTATAGGCCTCAAGGCCTATAGCGGCCCACATCCGGCATCTCCGTCCCGCCGCCATCTTTATGTCATTCTTCTTTTGTGTGCTGAACCACAAACATGTGCGGTGAAGAAAAAGTGATTTTTCTTGCTTAAAATTCGAGATAATGAGTTCAAATAAACAAAAGGAGAGAGCATTTATTGCTCTAAAGGAGTTGCGCCAGAAGATACGGAAGGAAAAGAAAGACAGAGAGAGTAAAGCTAAGATAATTCTGTCACCGTGTGTTCTGTGTGTACTTTCAGAAACTCTTCATGGCCGACATGACTGCATAATGACTGATGATTGCATAATTGGGTACACAGCGGCGTGACAGATTGTCCATAAAGTGATCAAATCACGAAGCCCGAGTGATGTGCGTGAACAGGAGTGCACACTCACGTTCTCTGTTGAGAAATTACCCAAGCAGTCAAGATGGAAGTCCGGGGGATTTCCATCATTGGGGCGGTGCCCTTATGTGTGAGTTTCTTTATGTGGGGGCCACATACAAGATATTCGGGGGGCCCGAATAGTACCACACATTTAGTCCAACGTCTCTAATCATCATTAAATGCTGCTATTTCGACTATTGTGCGAACAACACACCAAATCAGGTAACATAACCTAATTGTTTTCTTGTTCTTTCTTACATGAACTAAAGGGAGAAGCAGCCGCAGACGAGACCACAGGTCACAACGCTCCGCGTTGATGAGGTCTAGAAGCAGGAGTCCCAGGCGTAGGAGTGGAAGGAGTCGCAGGCGCAGAAGCGGAAGCAGTTGCAGACGTACGAGCGCGAGCAGTTGCAGTCGCAGCCGCAGCAGTCGCAGTCGCAGAAGCGGAAGCAGTCACAGCCATAGTCGCAGAGGCAGTCGTAGGCGTGGAAGCAGTTGCAGTCACAGCAGCAGCCGAGATAGTTCCGGAAGTTCTTGGAACAACCCAGTTTCAGACACTGAGATAAGCCTGGAAGCCAGTGAAATCCATGACAGCGAAGTGCGTTCTATTTTGTCTGAAGATAAGGATCAGCTTCCAACTGATAAGTTGTCTGAGAACGTCTCGACTTCAATTGAGCAGAAGATGGAGATTTTTGGTGAGGATTATCACCAAGAGGTGAAGTTGGCGCCAGAAATTAACTCGGAACTGCTTACAAGAGTGCAGAAAATAATGGATAAAGGAATTCCGGAGGAATTTCTCAAGGGATTGATAGCAAATCTCCCTCTGCCCAGTAATGCTACATCTTTTGCTGCTCCAAAGCTAAATGGGGTGTTCAAGAGAACGATGCCTGAACCAGTGGTTGTAAGAGATGACAGGATTGTCAAGCGCCAGAACATGATGGCCGCATGTCTCTCTGCCTTCACTCAAGTTACCACAGTGATTGCGGATAATCGAGATATCCCTCAGTGGAAGTTCATCATGGATAAGTTGACGGAGGGGGTGAAGATTGCTGCGAACCTGTATCACGAGGATTCAGTGATGCGTCGCAATTTGATTTTGTCCAATGTGGAGACGCAGACTATAAACACCCTGAACGAGACACTGATCGATGGATTTCTCTTTGGAAAAGTTATGGATGAAGAGTTGAAGGCTGGAAAGGCAATGGACAGCTTGGGGAAGGAGATCAAGCGATACAAGAAGAAGCCAAAAAACTTCAAGTTCCCGTCTCGTACTCAGTACAAGAAGAGAGACGGGAATCAGAGGAACTATTCTCGTCAACAGAAGAGATCTCCGAGACGCGGCAAGTATCGTTCGCCGAAGCGTCCCCATCATCGTCGTCGATCACCGGATCACAGGGCGAGCCATCGACCATCGCGAACATCTCGACGATAAACGTAAGCAGAACGGCAGGAAGATTAGGTTATTTCTATGATTCTTGGAAAAACCTTGTTAAAGATGAAGTTGTTTTGTCATGGATCAAGGGATATAGAATTCCCTTTTGTAGAAAAGTGTACCAATCGAGAATTCCTGAGGAGGAAAATTGGTCAGCTGCCGAGAGATGCAAAATTGAGGTGTTGGTGAATCAATTATTAGATAAGGGGGCAATAGAGCAGTGTTGTGCAAAATCTGGCCAGTTCATCTCGAAAATATTCTGCGTTCCAAAGCCAGATGGCTCTAATCGCTTTATTATTAACTTGAAAGAACTAAATAATTTCATTGAGCCAAAACACTTTAAAATGGAAGATGGTCGCACAGTAATGAGACTTATGTCTAGAAATTATTATATGGCATCTCTAGACATTAAGGATGCATACTATCTGGTGCCAGTTGCTGAATCAGACAGAAAATTCTTGAGATTTCAGTTTAAGAATCGCTTGTATGAATTTACGTGCCTACCATTCGGTCTATGTACTGCACCGATGGTTTTCACAAGGATTCTTAAGCCAGTTGTGGCATCTCTACGAGAGAAGGGAATTACAGTTGTCATCTATTTGGATGACATCTGGATAACTGCATGTTCAAAAGCAGTATGTTCAAGGGACGTGAAAGTTGTTGAAGATACGCTTATAAAACTTGGGTTTGTAGTGAATTATGAAAAAAGCATGACGGAACCCTCGAAGAGATGCCGATTTCTGGGAGTTATTTACGATTCAAGCAATATGAGAGTAGAGCTGCCCGATGCTAAAAGAGAAAAGATTAGAATGCTAGTGAGACAATTCAAGGTGGATGGAAGATACACAATCCAAAAGTTCGCAGAAACCTTGGGGTATTTGGTGTCATGTTGCCAAGCAGTAAACTATGGGATGGTTTACACAAAATCATGCGAACGATTGAAATTCAGAGCTCTTGAGAAAAGTAATGGTAGTTACAAGGGGCATATTGTAATCAATCAAGATGTAATGGAGGAACTGAATTGGTGGAATTCAGTTGGGTCTCGAAGTTATAATCCAGTGCGTCATCCAAGATATGACCTGGTTATTTTTTCTGACGCTTCACTATCAGGTTGGGGTGCAGTGTGTAAAGACAAAAGATCGAATGGTTTGTGGAAACAATCGGAGAAGGAGTATAGTATTAACTTACTTGAGTTAATGGCTGCCTTCTTTGGTCTTAAGTGTTTTGCGAGTGATTTACACGATTGCCAGATTTTGCTTCGCATTGACAACACCACAGCGATATCGTATATCAATAGAATGGGTGGTGTTCAGAAAGCTGAATTAAGTAATTTAGCCAAGATGATTTGGAAATGGTGCGAAGCAAGAAGAATTTGGATTTTCGCATCGTATATAAAATCTGAAGAAAATACTGAAGCGGATTTTGAATCGCGAAGACTGCAGCCCAACACTGAATTTGAACTGTCGAAAAAGGGATTTAAGAAGATCATTGGAGAACTAGGGAGACCAGAGATTGACTTATTTGCTTCAAGGGCAAACGCGAAGTGCACAAAGTATGTTTCGTGGAAACGAGATCCTTGTGCTCTAGCTATAGATGCATTCACTATACCATGGGAAGGTTATTTTTTCTATGCGTTTCCTCCTTTCTCTCTGATACTTAGAGTCTTACAAAAGATTAAGTATGACAGAGCAAGGGGTATTCTTGTTGTACCAAAGTGGCCATCACAGCCTTGGTATCCAACCTTTTGCTCTATGATAGACTCAGAAGTTGTCTATTTGCCAGCTAATAAGTTCATTGATAATTCTTCCGACAGATTATGGACGAGGACTATCCTGGTGGCCGCAATTTTGTCAGGAGAAGTTGTGAGTTAAAAGGTTTACCTAAGGAATCTTACGATATATTGCTTTCATCTCTGACACTATCATCGTGGAAGCAATATGATATTGGTCTAAAGAAGTGGTGGACTTTTTGTTCAAGATTGCGAGAAACTTTTCACTTTAATCCACAAGTCAGTGAAGTATTGCGCTTTTTGACGGAAGAATTTCATAAAGGAGCCGCATATGGAACTCTGAATGCATATCGATCGGCTCTTGCTCTCATTGCTGGATCAGGATTAGCTCAAGATGATAATATTAAGAGATTTTTTAAAGGAGTGGCAAACATAAGACCAGGAAAGCCAAGATATAATGTGACATGGAATCCACAGACTGTATTAGACTATTTTTGTAAAAGACCAGATAATCCTGACTTGTCTCTTAAGGAGCTCTCTCAAAAACTGATCATGTTATTGGCATTAACAACTGGTCAGCGATTGCAAACATTTTCTTTGATGAAAATTGATCAAATTACTGAAAATGATGAAATGATTGATGTACGAATTCCCAATCGTGTCAAGACTTCTGGTCTGAACAAGTTTCAACCTATTTTGCACTTGCCATACTATAAGGAAAACTTTAAAGTATGTGTGGCGTCTGTACTTAAAGAATATTTGAGACGGACACAAGTAATTAGAGGAGATAAATTATTTGTATTCGTCTCACACAAACGTCCACATAATAGAGTTGGAGCACAGACATTAAGCCAGTGGATTAAACAAGTCTGTTCATGAGAAATGAACAGGGTTTATTTGTGTTAATTTTGTATCAATAATTCCCATCTTATAATTCCCATTATAATTAATTTTAGGCTAACTTGAACAGCGGGGACGACCCACGCTGTGATCAGTTTTGCTGATCTAGTAATAAGGGCGGAGAGTTCTCCCACTCCCGCCGTTTACACTTCTTCCCTCAGGAGAAGCGTAAACAAATTTGCAATATATTGAGACGCGGGCGACAATTAATTTCAGTCGTCGTTCGCAATTGTTCACAGAAGGAGCCCTTGGGCCTTGCAGTGAAACCCACAAGATTGGGTGATGCAGTAGTTGAACTAATTGCATTTTTTTGGTGGTCAAGAGACCGACACTAAGAAGTGTCTTTTGTAGCAAATGGCAAGAGCCACATAAAATTCAAGGCAGGAGCCGCTTTTTATTTGTAATAAGTTGTGTTAAGTATTAAATTGAGTAGAGTAAATTAGATTAAGTGTTAAAGTGCAATCAAGTGTTTAATTGTTCACCCTCAACCCCGCAAAGGAACTCGGCCGCGATCCATTCGCGCCAGTCACCTTTGGTTAAAGAGATTACATCCCATTCGAGCGAATACTCGCTCGTGAGGTGCAATTTCCTTCCCCCCAAGAGAAGACCCAAACGGCAGGAGAGATTCCCAGGGTTTTCCTGAATCTCGCCACCAGCTCTGCCACACCGAGATCATTCCACCTTTTCTCGCTTTCATGGTCCTTCGAGACCACGGAAAACCCAAGTCTTTGCTGTCGCTTAACGTCTTCTTAAATTCGACGAATTTTATTCCCCCAATTTCCTTGCGAAAACCTTTATCATTTGCTCGAGCGCTCAAAGAGTTTGCGCAGAGGGATAAAAATTCATGCCAAGAGGCGCATTAAGATCATCAAGGATCTGGAAACACTCCTGGAGGAGGTAAAGGACTTGGAAGTCCAGGCTGAAGGAATTAATACACAAAAAACATCGACGGAAGGAGCGCGTATAATTTCAATAACGCGTCATCGTGGGCACGAAAAAATTTGGCTGGCTCGGCAAATAACTTCACTGCCACACCAGCGCGCGTGCATTTTTCTCTTCGCGACAGTGTATTTTTTTTCCATTCCTCTTCACACGCTATTCGTAAGCCATGGACACCACGGCGATTTTAGCTGAATCTGCGGCGCGCGCAGCAGATATGGAGCGCTTATGGAAAAATTTCAAAAAAGAGGGGAACAGGAAAACTGCGGATTATATTGGAAAAGCAATGGACAAGCTCCAGAAGCTTTGGGCCACCATTTCCACAAATCACGGGATTCTCGTGGAACATTTGGAGCCTGACAACCAATATTTTCGCACCACTCTTTTTGAGGACATAAAAGCGTTTCACGAGGAGGCCCGGGAGGGCATGTCAAAGGCATATCAGGAGATGTGCAAGAGTGTCATTCAGGATTCAGAGGACGACTCTGTTGGCGAAGTCCCGACATTGCCCCGCGTCAATGATAAGACACTAAAAGAGTCCCAGGGAGATTTTTTGCGTTTCACAGAGGCCGAGGAGGCTGACAAGTACAAAAAAGTGATCACAAAAAAGAAAAATTCCCATAAGGAGAAACCATTGGAATGGAAGGATTCTCAATCAGGAGGATCAAGGAGCAAACAGGACCGCTCCAAGTCAAATTTCCTTGACGACGAGGAAAACGACGATATTTTCCGCTCGGCGGAAAAGGATTCAGGCCCTTTCGTCCTTCAAATTGGAAGAGGGCAAATGTTGCGTATGGTCATGGATGAGCTGAAGCGAGAGAACAAGAGGCCAAATTTGCCGCCACTAAAGGTGCCCATGTTTAGTGGAAAAACCAGTGAGTGGCGCGGATTTTTTGAAATGTTTTCTCACGTTATTCACAACGACCCGAACCATTGCGATACGGACAAGATGTCGTATCTTCTGTCCTACCTGGAGGGGGACGCAAAGCGGTTAGTGAGTCACCTTTCGCCTACAGGTGATCACTACAAAGCGGCGCTGGACTTGCTAAGAAACAGATATGATCACAAAAGGAAGACGACCTTTGATTATGTGAATCTGTTGCTCGACGTCAGGAGAGTCGAATACCGCAGCGCCAAGGACATCGTTGATCTACACGACAGGCTCAACGAAGCACTCGCCGGGCTAGGAAGCCTAGGTTACCGCACGGAGCACTGGGATCCCTTGATAATAGGGATGTGCATAAGGAAGCTGGATGATGAATCGATTCAGCTGTTCGAACAATCATTGGATGAGCCAACCGAGGTGCCTACTGTAAAACAGTTTCTTAAATTCCTGTTCAAGAGACATCTCGTACTGTCTTCTATCAGGAACTTCGCTGAGAAGAAGAAAGGAGGAAAGGATAGGATTGATAGCAACAAATCGTATCACTCCACGTCGACCAAGCCAACGATGGTTTGTTTTCTGTGCAAAGAGGAGCACACACTCGCCAGCTGTCCAAGATATCTGGAATTGACATCAGATCAGAGGCTTCAGATGGCGATAAAGCTGGACTTGTGCCTAAATTGCCTCGGGCATAAAAAGGACAGGGACAAAGAGTGCACAAAGGTTCATATGTGCAAGCAATGTGACGAAGAACATCATGAGACGTTACATTTCGAAGAAGAGGAAGCGGAGCCCACTGATGCTCTAGTAAGCATCAGGGATAATAAGGATGAATTTGAGGAACGACTGGCCTTGCACGCAGCTGCGGCAACACCACTGTTTCCCACAGCTCTCCTTAAAGTAAAACAGGCTGATGGTTCATGGACACTCCTACGAGCTTTGATAGACACTGGATCTGGAGATTCGTTTATATCAGAAAGAGCAGCTCAGGACTTAGCTCTGCCTCGGGTGAAGATCAACGCACCAGTCAGAGGCATAGCTGGAGCGCCCGCTCCAACTTCACGACATCAGATATGTCTTACCATGGCCCCAAGATTCCCCTCGACCTTTCAGCTGGAGCTGAACGCCCTGGTACTCTCGTCACTCACAGGATTCTTGCCTCAAACGGAGATCAGTTCTGCATCATACAAGAGTTTTAATGTGGACAACATACCCATAGCAGATCCTTGTTTTATGACACCAGGACCGATCGATCTAATTCTGGGCTCACGGATATATGCAGCGATTCTCAAGGAGGGAATCAAGAAAGCTGAAGACATCAGCGCTCAGAACACTGAACTAGGCTGGATGCTCATGGGTGCGCATAAGCCAAAAGAAATTCACGTCATCAGCATGGTGGCCACAACAAATTTCAACGGAGAAATTAATGACACAGGGGACTCAGATCAGGAGATTAAGCCCGTCAAGGAACAGCATGGATGCGAAAAGGAGTTCGTGACCGTCTTGAAAAGGATCGAGGCGACGCTGAACTCGATGTCCCTCTCACCAGCGGTTGGTGATTCAGCCGATCTTGCGGCCCTGATGCCGGGAGATTTCCTCATCGGAAAGCAATTGATGGCCCCGCCCGAGGAGGAGGTGGTGGAGGAAGAGCCCACCTGGAAGTGGAAAAAGGTTACAAGGTTACACCGGTCTCTAGGAAAAGGTTGGTCAAGAGATCAGCCACAACAGCGGCATCCTGAAGACGATGGAGTAAACCGAGTAGTGGAACTCAAGGCAGATGACGGATCGAAAACGCGCCCCATCATCAAGATTGTGAAACCTCCAGTTGATCAGGCGACCAACGAGGAGGCGGCTGAGAAACACCAAACTGAGAGCAACAGCAGGACAATTCGCACTTCAAGATGTTTCCGTGTTGCATGGAAATCAGTCCTATTGTTCCTACTTCTGACGCTACTGACGTTTGGCGTAGCCTGGACTCATAATTACAGTACATTCGAGCCACAGACTGGGCTCTATGTCGAAGGTTTAGGAGTCAACGACGAGGCTTACAATGATGTAGCCGACTTAAGGTACAACCTGTTGGAGCAGGACACATCGGCGAATCAGTATAACATGCTTCTATGCGCCAAGGTGGACCAAAGCGTTGATCAAGTGAACAGCAAGCCATCGCAGTACACTGAAAAGATTAATGAAATGGTTCAACTGATAGCGGACCTACAGCGCTGGAACGCAGCATCAGACCACAACCGCGTAAGATTGGAGGTACGGCTTATGTACGCCGCCGCTAGCGATCACTCTGAAGAACTCGACGAAGTTTGGGAGCGACTCTCGAGAGCAGAAAAGGGAAGAGTGAGTCTTTTAGACTTTTCCTCACGCAAGACTTTGGCGAGGATCACAAGAAGAACGTTAGCAAAGGTTGGTACGGGTTATCAGATACTCACGGTTCCGACGACAATCGTCGAGCTCATTCTGGAGAATGAGAACATCCACGTGCACGGCAGTCTCCGGATACGGGAGAAGAGCAGCTGCCAGTTTCTGCACGTAAATCCCTTTCCAGCACGGCTGGAGAAGGGAACATCTTTTGTACCTGACCCAGGAACGGAGACGTCGGCTGTCGACTACAACAGCCGGAGATACTTCACCGAAGGAGCCGAAGGAGTCTGAAGGAGCAACCGACATGCGTGATTGATGAAATATCAAGCAGGTTACCGAGGAAGCCCTGCAACGTCACCCTGCTGGAGGTTGAAGGTACACTCCAACCGACCACTGGAGATTACGTGGAACCCAGGAGCAGGAGCTCCGGACAGAAGCGATCTTGGAAGATCCACCCAACCCCTACGGCAACGATCCTAGGAACGGTCATCCTGATAGGAGCTTTCCTGGCAGGTGTCACTTGGAGACGACAACGCGTGAAGCAGATCAGGGACCAGAAGAACGATGAGGACTTAGCTGAAAGATTCAACAGGCTACTAAAGGCAAGAGCATCGCAGCCATCTGCTAGCGCGGTCCCCGGGCAGGATGTTCATGAGAAATGAACAGGGTTTATTTGTGTTAATTTTGTATCAATAATTCCCATCTTATAATTCCCATTATAATTAATTTTAGGCTAACTTGAACAGCGGGGACGACCCACGCTGTGATCAGTTTTGCTGATCTAGTAATAAGGGCGGAGAGTTCTCCCACTCCCGCCGTTTACACTTCTTCCCTCAGGAGAAGCGTAAACAAATTTGCAATATATTGAGACGCGGGCGACAATTAAAGTCAGTCGTCGTTCGCAATTGTTCACAGAAAGAGCCCTTGGGCCTTGCATTGAAACCCAGAAGATTGGGTGATGCAGTAGCTGAACTAAGGGTTGCTTTTTTTTGTGTGGTGCAAGGGAGGGGGAAAGATGACGACACTAAGAAGTGTCTTTTGTAGCAAATGGCAAGAGCCACATAAAATTCAAGGCAGGAGCCGCTTTTTATTTGTAATAAGTTGTGTTAAGTGTTAATTTGAGTAGAGTAAATTAGATTAAGTGTTAAAGTGCAATCAAGTGTTTAATTGTTCACCCTCAACCCCACAAAGGAACTCGGCCGCGATCCATTCGCGCCAGTCACCTTTGGTTAAAGAGATTGCATCCCATTCGAGCGAATACTCGCTCGTGAGGTGCAATTTCCTTCCCCCCAAGAGAAGACCCAAACGGCAGGAGAGATTCCCAGGGTTTTCCTGAATCTCGCCACCAGCTCTGCCACACCGAGATCATTCCACCTTTTCTCGCTTTCAAAGTCCTTATTAAGTGCAAAATAGACACGACAATGTTCAAGGGATATTCGACAAGACACGCATCAACTTCTTGTGCGGATAGGAAAGGATTAAACATAGATATAATAAAGAGATCCGCGGGTTGGTCAGACAAGTCCAAGACATTTGCAAATTTTTATAAACTACCTTTGACCAATACGAAAGATATGTTTGCTAAAACTATTCTTAAGAATTAATATTAATTCATGAAATATTTAACTGTCGATGTTAAGTGAATTGTTGCTACTTTACTATTAAGTAGCGTGAGAAAATAAATTGGATTAGTTCTCAAGTTTATGGTTCACAGGTCATAACTGTGTTGAACGACTACAAGTAGTGATCATCGAAAGAGAAGGAGCGAAGTAGAATTTAAAGATTAAACGAACTTACCTGTGAAGTTTAATCATAATTCTACGAGCTCCTTCTCTGAAGATGATCACGTCCCGCCCGGTTCTTTGAACTGCCCCTAATCTGAACTTAATATAATTCAGTTAGCCCCAAAAGTTATGACCTTGTAGTTGAAATAATGACATAAAGATGGCGGCGGGACGGAGATGCCGGATGTGGGCCGCTATAGGCCTTGAGGCCTATAGGCCTCGTCGTCGATTAGACGACTGTTTTAAAATTAAAACCGTTGAAAGTGTGGTTAAGCAAGCACGGAAAGAGGGACTACAAGTAGTGATCATCTTCAGAGAAGGAGCTCGTAGAATTATGATTAAACTTCACAGGTAAGTTCGTTTAATCTTTAAAATAAATCAATAAAATCTAATCGATACAGTAAATACTCATTACTTAAATAAATTAAATATACAAAATAGAAAGAAAATTGAAGAATTAGAAGACAAACATATTTATCATTTATCATTCAGTAGCATTGTTTTCATCATTTTGGTATGTCTTGGAATAATAATAATTGTAATTTATTCAAAAAGAAATAGAACAGGAATTGTACGCAATCCTACATCTCAAGCAAAAAATGTAACTTCACTTACCGATATCCTTTTCACTCCTGTAGGAGTGAAACCTTCTGAGGAGGGAGGAGTTATATGAAGAATGTAAACATGTATCTGTGAGCACTGCAGAGCGGTGCATCGGAGTATTGCATCGAAGAGAGCGAGTAGAATTAAATAGATCGTGAAACCTACAGCACGTGTTTTGGTTCTCAGCAATTATAAAACCTTAATTATTTGCGGCAAATTTCTTCTCCATTGAGAGGAAACGTGCAAGTGCTTGGTTCCTGGATTCTCCAAGCTGGGCATTTTCTATATTTTTAAATGGAAGGCGGACCTGATATTGTCCATCACTGCCTCTAAGATGAGTGCACTCGAAGTGCTCCTCACATTCGGTATGTTCTTCGATTGTGGCTCCGTCTCCAGTGTCCATTTCCCAGTAAGCTCTGAGCGATTTATCAAGATCTGCGAGTGAGATCATGCTGATGACTTCTCGGTGTTGTCCCGGATTGAGTGTATTGCCCAGGATTATCCACCCAAGGCCTGTTTCTTGAGCTACCAAGCCGCTTGGGTCACGTTTCAAATCAGTTCTGATGATTTGAGAGTAGATTTCAGTGCCGAGAATGAGGTCTATATGGCCTGGAACATTAAACTTTGGGTCGGCCAATGTGAGTTTCTCAATTCTATGAAGATCGAAACTGGAGCTTATGGGATTTGCTGGCAAAAATGAGGATAGTTTTGGAAGAACTAGTGCAGTGGTGTTCCACTTTTGGTCTGAAGCCATGCGTGGAGAGATAATTATGTCAATTGCAGCCTTGCAAGTCCCTGCATTGACTTCTCCGATGCCTTTGATATTGATCATGAGCTTCCTTTTAGGAAGCCTCAGAATTTGTGCAGCACTCTCTGAGATGAATGTCTCGCCTGAGCCGGTGTCCAGGAGAGCACGCATGAGGTGCCAACCACCGTCACGGGCTTGAATTTTGAGTTGAGCAGTGGGTAAAATGACGGAGGCGGATTTGCTGTACATGGCTACTGTCTCGGAGGCGTCTTCAGCTTGAGCCTTTGTAGCTTGAGATTGTGCAGCAAACTTCTTGTTTTCGAAGTGTAGCAGTGTATGATGCTTTTTGTTGCAAGTAAAACAAGTCTTCTTGCTCTTGCATTGGTCTTTTTTGTCGTGGTATAGGCAGTTGAGACATAAGTTCTGATCTTTTGCAAACTGTGTCCGGTCATAGGGACTGAGTTTCTTGAACTCAAAACATTTGATCAGTGGATGATTTCTGCCACATTTTGAGCAGTTGTCTTTAGCAGAAGTGATATGGAAAGACTTTTTCTTGTCTTTAGATTGATGGCCATCCTTGGGACTGGTAAGTAGAACTCTATATCTCTTCATGAGAAACTTGAGGAGCTCTGGAATGGTTGGAACAGCTGTTATGTCGGATATGTTTTCCTCGAAGGCCTTGTTTGAGTCTGGGTCAAACTTTTGAATGGCGACAGTGACGAGGATGGGGTCCCAAGTGGAGATGTCATAGCCAAGATTCTTTAATCCGGCTAAACTGGAGTTAATAGCATCGTGGAGATGGATCACGTCGTCTGCGGATCCAACGTTGAGTTTTTTGTGATAAACAATTGCGTTCATATAGTTGGTGACCATCTGTCTTTGATTGTTGTAACGCGCATTGAGGATTTGGAGAGCGCTATCGTAATTAGCGTCAGTGAGAGAAAAATGCGCGAGGAGCTGCTTTGGTTGTCCGTCTAAATGTGTAATCAAATAGTGGAGTTTTTGCACTTTGCTGATATATGGGTTGCCGTGGATGACACTCATAAAGAGCTCGATAAAGGCTTGCCATTCTTCATTTTTGCCCGAAAACTTGTGTAGTTTTACAGGAGGCAATTTTGGAAGAGAATTGGGACGAATCCAGTCCTCTTGATCAGTGATTTGATCAGTGGATGAAAGTGCATCGAGCATTTGGCGAAGTCGCTGCCCATTGTCATTAGGTGGTATCGGATTACCATCATTGTTTTCATTGTGTGAGTCTCCCGCGGGAATGTCGAGAGGTTTGGGCTCTGGATTGGGCTTTGCTTGAAAGTCCGTTGTCATGGCTTTTTCAATTAATGATTTCATTTTTTTATATGAGTCTTTTCCAAGATCATATGTGAACGAGGTGAAGTATTCATGATTCTCATCAGCTGATTGACGAAGCTGAGAGTCATTTTGGTCGAATTCTTTCCAGATTGTCAAGAGTTTGTCGAATTGATCCTGATGATAAGAGATGCCTTTCTTGGCACGACGAGTGGGGCCCTCTTTTGTGAATCTGTCACGAATCTCTTTGAGCATAGAGAGAAGATCAACTTGGCGAGATACTGCGTCATCAATATTCATGGTGGAAAAGTGCAGTGATTATGTGGCAAGCAGAAAGTGTATTTATTTGTTTTTTCAAGCGAATACAGGCTGCTTTTTGGACAGTTTTCGAATGACTGCTTTGAGCTGACGCAGCCTGACCTGTCGTCCGCCCCTTTTCCTGCCCTTCCTCTGCTCTACTCTGGGAACTCCAAGTGGTAGCAGATTGCGGATTTGATGGAGGGATGTGTCACCAGGAACAGTGATCGTGATGGACCGTCCGTGATCGATGGCCCTGGATGGCTGTTGCACAGGAACGATGTGTCGCTGCTCGAGGACTGGACGCTCAGCGAGGAACGGCTCGTATCTCTGCGGCTTGGGAAGCTGAGATTTCCTGGTCAGAAGACGTTTCGGAGGCGCGATGGTTTGGCGATGCTTTGGGACTGATTTGGGGGGTTCCAATTTGTCCGTTTTCTTGACGTCTTCTTCAATTTCCAGGGGTGAAATCTGCAGCAGCGGAGGATGATTCGCCTTATCAAGCTTCGGGATGCGGAATGGAGCTGGCGGCTTGGGCGTGAGTACGATCTCTCGGGGTGCAATGGTGCCGTTCCTTCGACGATAATCGTCTAGGGTGATTTTCTTGCGTGGAATCTTGGGGTGTGCCGGTTGATCCACACGACAAGAGTTCTCTAGCAGCCACTGCTTGACAAGCCGTTGAGTTTCCTCAGATGATAGCTTAGGGCGTTCCTCACTACGATGTTTCTCCTTGGGGCGTAAATCCTTGGAGAGTGAAGCGGGTTGCTTCTCGATGGATTTCAAAGCGGTGTGCTTGGGAGTTGAAGCGGGGCGCTTCTTGGCTGAATGTGAAGCGGGGTGCTTCTCGGTGGGATGTGAAGCGGGGTGCTTCTCCGTGAAATATTCTTTCACTTTGGGACGCTCCTGTCTGGTGCGTGGATTACGGTGGTCTTCCTTCTGATGACCACTCTCGGGAGGCTGAACGTCTGGAGTGACAGCCCTGGAAGGGGTTCCTTGCGATGAAAAGTCGCTGATGTTGCTCACTGTAATTGATCGATAGTGAGTTTATGATATGTTACGATGACTCGAAGGACCATTGAAAGTTACGATGGCTCGAAGGACCATGTAAAGTTACGATGGCTCGAAGGACCATGTAAAGATTCTCTATCGGCTTTTTTAGAGAATTACTTTGCTGGAGGAAAGTCGCCTCTCGATTTCTTCAAGAGGTCCCCTTGCTCCCTCTAGAGAACAAAGTATCTTCTGTAGCAGTGCAAGGCGGGTCCTGTATAGACTAAAATGCCTTCGGTCAACGGCAATTCAATGCCACCGGGCTTAAGCAAGAATGCTCCCTGGTGAGTGGCGACCACCGGTGGTGCCTCCGATTTGCACTGGGCTAAGGTTTAGCCTCAGAAAATACTTCTTTCTCTACTGCCGCTTTTACTGGAGCTCCTTGAAGAGGAGCCGCTGGTAGAGGCAGGGAAAGAGCCGACTCTGGCCGCTAATATGAATGGCAAGAGTGCCGCTGATATTAGCCAGAGACTTAGCCGCTGAAAGAAGCACTGGAGGTGCTGCGGACAAGGCTAAGTGGTCCTGAGAAATCGCAAATATTAATGGAAGGGAAGCTTACTTATTGAAAGCTGCTGGATTTCCATGCGAAGTCTGATTTATTCAATGCATTACACCGTCTTTTATACACAAAATTCTTATCCCTACTTAATTAATTCGGCGACAAATTGTAATATCGACAAATTCAAAGTGACAAAAGAAGTGACGAAAAGTGGTGGCGAGAAATGCACCCGCTGCATTTTTCTGAATGTGGGTCACTCAGCGCATCGAGTGTGTGACTCATATGACTTTATATGGAGATTAGATTATTTGATTTTTCTCCCATTTATCTTATCTTATCAACAAGGATTCAGTCAGGACTTGATCCTTGTTGTGGTTAGTATCTAGTGTGCTGAAATATATTCGGGTTTTCGCGGTGGAAATGGCATATTTTACACCGCCGTGCAAGGGGTTAGAAATGGTACTATTATTTTCTAATCTAGCTGAAATTTGAAACCTTTTTGACCTAAACCTGGCGATTAAGATGTATATCTATTACTTAAACTAAGTTTGCTTGGCCTGAGAATGTTAGAAATAGTAAAAAATAGTGTCTCAATTTTGGACTTAAATCTAACATTCATTTACTGCATGTTTCAACCGGAACAATGATAAAGACCTTGTATGCAGATTCCCCGACTTTGGACCTGATATTCTCATTCCTGATTGTGTTGTGCATCCGATAAATTCGAAAGCGAAAATTCTTGTATGCAATAAGAGAGATGCTCCAGTGAGTATTCCCGCATTTTTCCCCTCTACCGAATTCTTGTCCTCATATAACATTCAAGAAGTGGGAAAATCTTTTGATAGTTTAGCGGAAGACCGAGTCAAAAATATTCTACAAGAAATTCAAATTGGAGATTCACTTGATTCAGAAGCCCTTCAGGTATTGAAAGAGATATTTTTGGAACATCATCAAATTTTTCATTTAAAAGGTGACAAACTGACATGTACAACTGCCGAAGAGTATGAAATCCGTACCAAAGCCAACGCAGGAGTGGTCAATGAAAAGCCTTATCGGTTACCTTTTCATCTTCGTGCAGAAGTCAGACGCCAAATTGAAGAAATGCTTTCGAATGGAGTTATTACAATGTCATACAGTCCATATAATTCTCCTTTAGTGGTCGTTCCTAAACACCCGGATGCAAATGGCAATCCGCGATACAGGGTGGTAATAGATTTTCGTCGACTCAACGATGTTACAGTGAAAGATCAATTCCCTATTGGTAGTATAGAAGATATATTCGATAATATGGTGTTAGATGGTGACCAGACCAGCTGGGATGAACTGGGAACAGTTCACCCCCACTCCGCAACTCTTCTTCCTCAGAGTTGCCCAGTATTGGCTCCCGCCAATCTCTCCCTCTCTTAATTTTGTCACTTGGATTTTTACATTTGAACTCTGTGCATCGACTTAAAATTAATTGAAATAAACGCAGTGAACTAAAGTCACCTCGTGAGTTTAACTGTGGAAACGGCGACGAGAAGGGATTAACCAGAATCTTCAACTTTACTTCTTATTAAAGGTTAGTCCGCGATATAACAATTCTGGCGACGAGGATGGGATTAACCAGAATCTTCAACTTTACTTCTTATTAAAGGTTAGTCCGCGATATAACAATTCTGGCAGACGGGATGGACGACGGACCCAAGCCACCGATCAGAGACCAGCAACCTGTGCCAGCCGACGCCGGCATGACTGATCTTCTGGCCAAGATGATAGCGCTTTTGGAGGCAATGCAGACTCCCAAGACGTCCACTGAGGTTGCTGCAGAAGCCTTAGCACGCGGAATCACGCCGTTCACGCACGCTCCTGAGCAGAACCTTACGTTCGATGTCTGGTTCCAGCGCTACCGATCGACGTTCTTGGAGGACGGCAAGAATCTCACGGATGCGGGGCGAGTGAGGCTTCTCATCAGGCGTCTCGATGCCTCTTCTTATGAGAAATACTCCAGCAATCTTTTGCCGCGCAACCCATCAGATCTCACGTTCGACGAGAGTGTCAAGTGCCTCACCAAACTCTTCGGCAAGGGAGAGTCACTTTTCTGCACGCGCAGAAAGTGCCTGCAACTCGTGATGAGAGACTCCGACGATCTGACGACTCACGCAGGCATCGTCAATCGACACTGCGAGAATTTTCGGCTTACTGAGTGTACATCAGACCACTTTAAGGCGATCATCTTCGTGTTGAGTCTCCAAGGCGACAAATATGTTCTTGTCAGAGAACAGCTACTCACGAAACTTGAGACAGAGCCCTCGACGAACATCACGCTGGATTTTATGCTGGAAGAAGCTAAGCGCCTCCTCAACATAAAGAGCGACTCCAGAGCTGATGCGCCTCTGCCCACAGTGAGTAGCGTGCATAAAAACCCCTTGACTAGAGAGAGGCCGCCACGGCCCTGTTATCAGTGTGGCGCCATGCATTTTATTAGAGATTGCCCATTCTCTAATAAAAAGTGTACTGATTGCGACTCAATTGGTCATAAATCCGGCTATTGTCCACCTCAGACGAGCAATAAAAGTGGACAGAAATCCGGGAACAATGCGCAGAGTAAAAATGCAAAACGTCGCAATACTTCCAAGAAGAGTGGCAAATCAAATGCGCAGCCACGAACAAATGCTGTGTATTCTGCAAAAAGATTTGGGAGGCGATATCTTTCCGCTGGGATCAATGGGCAAATCATCGAGTTCCAATTGGATTGCGCAGCAGATTTGTCAATCATCTCTCGAACCACGTGGGAAGCTATTGGGAAGCCGCAGCTCTCCCCAGTTTCCATCGCCGTGAGAGACGCCCAAGCTAATCAGATTCCACTTGAGGGCGAACTTGAATGCCGGATTAGCTTCCTGGGCAAAGAGATTAGCGGCCGGTGTCTCGTATCCAGCCACACCCGCACAAATCTCTTCGGCATCGAGTGGATAGAAGCTTTTGGACTCTGGGGCATTGCGCCAAATGCCTTCTGCAACGCTGTGGAGAAAGACCTGGACACTAGGCAGGCTGTTCAGGAGCTTCAGCGAGAATTTCCCACTGTCTTCAGCACAGAGATGGGCCTATGCACAAAAGCATGTGCCACTATCCACCTCAAGAGCGATGCCACACCTGTCTTCCGCCCGAAGAGGCCAGTTGCCTTCCACGTGATGAGGACAATTGACGAGGAACTCGAACGTCTCCAGTCATCCGGAATCATATCACCGGTCGAGTTCTCATCTTGGGCAGCTCCAATTGTCGTGGCACGGAAGCCAAACGGCAAGATCCGAATCTGTGGGGATTATTCTACAGGACTCAACGAGGCAGTCGAGACGAATTGCTTCCCCATCCCGGATCCGGATAGCTTGTTCAGTAACTTCTCTGGCAAGCGATTCTTCAGCCACATTGATCTCTCCGACGCTTATCTGCAAATTCCCGTCGACGAAGAGTCTAGCAAGCTCCTCACAATCCACACGCCTCGCGGATTGTTCCGCTTCAATCGACTCCCTCCTGGCATTCGTAGTGCTCCAGGAATTTTCGAGGAAATCGTCGAACGGATGCTCCAGGGAATCCCAGGTGTCATATCGTACTTTGATGACATCTGCGTGGCCAGCGCCAGCGCCGAGGAACATTTTTCTACACTTAGAGCTGTCTTCGCGCGCCTCCAGGAATACAATTTCCGAGTGAAGCTGGAAAAATGTAAGTTTTTCTCCTCTAACATCAAGTTTCTCGGCGTAATTGCAGACGAAAAAGGCCTGAGCCCTGATCCTGGAAATATCGACGCTATCAAGGAGATGCCCGCGCCCAAGAATATTCACGAGCTTCGCAGTTTTCTTGGCGCCGTGCAGTTCTGGGGGAAATTCGTGCCGAACATGAGTGAAATTCGCGCCCCCATGGACTATCTCCTTAAGAAAGGCGTTCGATGGCGATGGACGCGGGACTGTGCGAGTGCTTTTAGGCGTTTCAAGGAAATCTTAAGCTCCAACCTGCTCTTAACGCACTACGACCCGAATATGCCGATATTTGTTGCCTCCGATGCTTCTTCCCACGCAATTGGGTGTGTTGCGTATCATAAACTCCCGGATGGAAGTCTGAAGGCCTTCTATCATGCGTCCAGGAAGCTCACAGACACCGAATCTCGATACAGCCAGATCGAGAAAGAGGCTCTAGCGATCATCTTTGCAGTGAAGAAGTTCCACCGCTATATCTACGGGCGGAAATTCAACTTGATGACCGACCACAAGCCTCTTGTGTCCATCTTCGGCAGCAAAAACGGCATTCCTGTCCACACCGCAAATCGGCTGCAACGCTGGGCCCTCATCCTTCTCGGATACGACTTCGAGATTCAGTATATGCCCACGGACAAATTTGGGCATGCTGACGTGCTCTCTCGACTCATCTCGGCGCAGAGGCGTGATCAGGATGATGAAGTAATCATCGCGCAGATCGAGTCAGAGGAGGCCCTGGACGATGCAGTCACTCGAGATGCAGCATCACAACTTCCGGTTGACTACATGATGATTAACCGCGCTTCTCAGACATCACGGACGCTCCAAGACGTCGCAAAATACATCATCGGTGGATGGCCATCCACGGAGAAGGCCATAAAGTCCAGGGAAGTTGCGCAATACTACAAGATTCGTGATGCTCTCTCGTTAATAAAAGGTTGCGTATTTTACAGGGACAGACTGGTGATTCCTGAGGCGTTCCGAGACAAAATCCTGAAGCAACTACACGGAGCTCACCCAGGCATGTCGCGCATGAAATCCTTGGCTCGAGGATATGTATTTTGGCCTGGCATTGACGGTCAAATTGAACAGCGTGTCCGGAACTGCCAGGAATGCGCCGCCGCCAGTAAATCCCCTGTAAAATCGCACCTTTCTTCATGGCCATTGGCGACAAGATTCTGGCAAAGAATCCATGTCGACTATGCCAAATATAAGACGGACTACTTTCTGCTCATCGTGGATGCCTTCTCAAAGTGGCCTGAGATCTTCAAGACATCAACGATGACCGCGAACGTGACCAAGGACAAACTGCGCGAGTGCTTCGCAAGACACGGCTTGCCGGAAACTCTTGTGAGCGACAACGGCACGCAGTTTACCAGCGAAACCTTCGGCGACTTCTGCAAGGAGCACGGCATTAACCATGTCCGCACGGCGTCCTACTGCCCTGCCAGTAACGGTCAAGCAGAGCGTTTTGTCGACACACTCAAACGGTCGCTGGAAAAGCAGAAAAACGTCCCTCTCGACACGGCCTTACAAAACTTCCTGGCGAACTATCGAGTGACGCCGAATGAGAATTCGCCGGAAGCAAAGTCCCCATACGAAGTGGTGTATGGTAAGAAGGGCCGCACAATCTTCGACCTTCTTAAGGAGCCTCAGCAGGAGCCAATCCGACGGAATGAGAAGATGGAAGAGGCTTACAACCGTCGTCATGGCACTAAAGCTCGCTCCTTTACGAGGGGGGAGGAGGTTTACGCCAAACTTTACGCTCAAGGTGGCGTAAAATTCAAATGGACATCTGGAGTAGTGATCGAGCATCGAGGATCCGTTAACTACAACATCCGACTGGCCAATGGAACTCTTATACGCTCTCATATCAATCAATTGAGACGTCGTCATTCCGGGGCGAATCAAACATCAGATTGTTTGCCACTGCCCACTACGTCTCGAGGATCTGGCCCTACTCCAGCCCCACTCCCGGCGCCGTCCACCCAATCGACGCCTGGCACACCAAACAGACCGATTACAATATCGCTGCCCTCCTCAACTGCCTCGGATCAACCATCACCGCCCGCACCATTGACACCAGACACGCCACCAGCTCCTGCTGCTCGTCCTGCGCCTGGAACACCTATTTATAGACGTCAGCGCAAGTCCATTGGAGTCCCAAGAAGGCTGGAGGATCTGTTTTAAGACGGCTCAGCGTCTTTTCCCTGGGGGGAGGTGTTAGATGGTGACCAGACCAGCTGGGATGAACTGGGAACAGTTCACCCCCACTCCGCAACTCTTCTTCCTCAGAGTTGCCCAGTATTGGCTCCCGCCAATCTCTCCCTCTCTTAATTTTGTCACTTGGATTTTTACATTTGAACTCTGTGCATCGACTTAAAATTAATTGAAATAAACGCAGTGAACTAAAGTCACCTCGTGAGTTTAACTGTGGAAACGGCGACGAGAAGGGATTAACCAGAATCTTCAACTTTACTTCTTATTAAAGGTTAGTCCGCGATATAACATATGGGAAAGAGCAAGTTCTTCACCACGCTTGACCTCGCGTCGGGCTACTATCAGATGAAGATCGCTGATTCAAGTCAACACAAGACTGCATTTAATGTGCTTGGAGGACATTTCGAGTTTACTCGATTGCCCCAGGGCCTTTGTAGTGCTCCTGCAGCATTCTCCAGGATGTTGAAAAACATCTTAGCAGAATTGCCGGGAGGAACATGTATGTCTTACTTGGATGACGTGATCATTTGCTCAGAGACTATTACTGATCACCTAAAGAAATTAAATCTCGTTTTGAGTCAGTTCAAAAAATATAATTTACAACTTCAGCCTGGGAAATGCGAATTTGTCAAAAATCAATTAATTTATTTAGGATTTTCTGTGAGCGACAAAGGACTAGGAACTGATCCTAAAAAGATCGAAACAATAGTAAATTACCCTCCACCACGAAATTTAAAAGAAGTTCAACAATTTATGGGTTTAGCGAATTTTTACAGGAGATTTGTTAAAAATTTTTCCGATTTGACACACGAATTCTCTGACATGAGTAAAGCAAAAGAGAAATTTGAATGGACTGATGAATGTGAACGCAAATTTGAACTCTTAAAGGAAAAATTATCATCTGCACCAGTCGTATGTTTCCTGATTTTTCTAAGCCATTTGAGCTCACTGTGTCTGCCAGTGATGTTGCTGTCGCAGGAATATTGTCTCAGGAAGGACATGTTATATCCTATGCTAGCAATGTACTTGAGGAACATGAGTTAAAGTATTCTATTGTTGAACGTTACGCTTATGCCATTTATGTTTACTGTCTACAATTTCGTCCCTATTTAATAGGAAAGTCTTTTACCATCAAATGTGACCATCAAGCCATACTTTGGACCTTTAGTATTAAGGACCCCCCAACTCGTATTCTTAAATGGCGACTCTTACTTGAAGAGTATGAATTTATATTAGTGTGTAAGCCCACTCCACATACGGAAGCCATTGCTAAGATCCCACAAAATCAGGAAGAATCAGAGCCAACTTTAACTGTAAACGTTGTCACTCGATCTCAAACGAAACGTACTAAACTATGGAGAGATAATCTCAAAACATCTTCTGAAGAATACAGAGATTTTATAAATAAGGAAGAAATTGATATCATGAATTTGGCGAATGAAATTAAGAACGAAAACTTGAAGAACAATACTTGTGGAAACATATGCTTTTTGATCCCAGAAGATTGCCAGATAGAAGATTTTGCAGACATTGAAAAGAAGACGTTAACAATTCTATTAGAAAATGAATTATACAATATACAAAGTTATCAAACGCAAACCAACTTCCATTTGCTTCTAAAGCTACCGGCTCGTCATAAAATCTCATATGAGAATATGTTTCAGGCTTTATTAAAATTAAAATCGCATTGTTCAGGAAAAGACGTGAATTTTCTAAATTTTCTTAAAAGAAATCTGGAGCCAGGAAATATTGAATATAAACTAGTAAAAAGGATGATAAATTATTTATTCAAGGAATGTGACATTGGCATTAATATTTATTTCGAAAAAGTGAAGTATCTTCAAGATCCTATACAAATTCATGAAGCTATTAGAGAATGCCACGATTCGCCATTAGCAGGTCATCGAGGAAACCATGGCACTTTTAATAGAGTTAGAGAGTTGTATGCATTTAGGAATATGAGACGTGTGATTTCAAAATATGTCGCCCGTTGTGAGCCATGTCAAAAGAACAAGATACGAAGAAACACTAAAATGGCTATGACTTTGACAACTTCCAGCCCGTATCCTTTCTATAGAATCAGCATGGACATCGTAGGTCCCTTGTCTGAAACGCAAAAGGGAAACAGATACATTCTGACCATCTATGATGACTTATCAAAGTACTTAGTTGCCATTCCGATAAAAGATCAGACAGCCGAAGCTGTAGCCGAGGCCTTTGTTGACAGGTTTATTTGCGTATTTGGCGTACCAGTACAAATCTGCACTGACCAAGGTGGGTGTTTCATAAGTGAAATTTTTAAGCGCGTATGCAAATTGTTGCGAATATCAAAAGTTCAAGCCAGTAGTTGGCATCCTCAAACAAATGGTGGTATTGAGCGATCTCACCGCGTATTAGGAGAGTTTCTTCGAATTTACACTATAAAACAATGCACTCAGGTTGGTTGCTGACAAGCGACTGACTTTATTGAAATTATTACAGCTTATTACAAATAATGCATACTTGCATATACACTCATACATCTCCCTCGCGAATTTAATCTGTTAGAACTAAATGGAAATGCATTTCTTAAACAATATGAGTAGATGGCCTTTCCACCCCCTTAAAAGGAATGCATTTGCATTATCTCAATAATTGGAAGCCAACAATCTTGATAAAATTTGATTGAGCCAAAATTTTAAAACAACTTCGCACAGGAAGCGGTGAAAATTATTACATTTAACAAATATTATGCTTGTGCAGTAACCTCGTCAAAAAAAAAAAAATTTTCGCTGCTATAAAATGAATTGAGCATAAAATATAATTATTAAGTAATATATATATATATATATGTGTGTATTTATTAGGTATTTTATGATATTACCTATGTTTTATCATGAAGATATAAGAAATAATATTTAAAATATGTTTCATTGCAATGATAACAAAATTATGTATGTATATAACCCATTATGTCCACTAGTTGTTTCGTAATATTTCATATGAGAGTATGTATATATAATTTATTTATTTATTTATTTTTAATTTATTTCTTTTTGTGTTTTTTTTTTTGTTTAGCTTGTATATATGTATGTATTATTGAAATTTTTGAGCTTATATTTATAAGGTATATTGGATAGAGGTTACCATTCTAAAAAAAACAATTAATTACTTAAAATATTTTACTATCCTATTCTTATGAATCAAATGATCCTTATTAGTTGCAATATCTCTTACTGTAATATTCAAATTGTCTACATTAATTACTTTATAAGGACCTTTGTAAAGAGGTTCATGTTTATGTCGAGATTCATTTGTGACGAGCACTAAATCATTAACAGATAATTCAATAGGTCTAACATTCTTATCATAATATTTCTTATTATGCAATTTTGACTTAATGATTGATTCTGAAGCAGAGAGGTGTGCGCTTTGGAGATTGTATCTCAGTTCTTTAACGTAGTCATCGAAATTATACACAGGATCGATTGAGTGTTTTGAAAGAAAATTTAACACATTCGCCGTTTTTCCAAACACCAACTCGAAAGGAGTATACAAGTTCAGAGATTCGACTGGAGTGCAATTGTAGCAATAAGTGAAATATACCAAATATTGGTCCCAATCAGCAGATGATGCACCAACATACGCGCGAAGGTATTCGTTAAAGCTACGATGATTTCTTTCAACAGATCCTAACGATTCGTGGTGATAAGGAGTAGAAAAATTATGAGTCACTGATAAAAGTTTTGTCAACTCTGAAAATAACTCATTTTTATACTCTGTACCACAGTCTGTCCTTAATTCGATTGGAAAACCATATTTCAAAAAAATTTCCTGAACTAAAGCTTTAGCTACTGTAGTTGCATCCTTGCTAGGAACTGCTACCGTAGTCAAGTACTTAGTGAGATCACAAATAGCAGTGACTGCATATTTGTTCCCTCGTTCTGTTACCGGAAAAGGACCTATTGTGTCAATAATTAAGACGTCAAAGGATCGCTGCGGAATAGATGTAATGCACATTGGCATTTTCGTACTTGGCTTTGGTTTAGTGGTTTGGCAAATGTGGCACGATTTGACATAAATTCGGATATCCTTATTCATACCATGCCAACGAAAACGGCTTTTAATTTTTGCCATTGTTTTCCTAAACCCACAATGTCCTCCGTGAATATGTGAATCATGAAAAGTTTGTAAAATCTTTAACTTTTCATCCTTTTCTGAGACTGTTTCTATAAGTTGTTTGATAGCTATCGTAATTGATTTTAAACATTCATTGCCGGCCTGTTTAAATTCACTAGTTGTGCACAACTTGAAGATATCATCATCACGTGATATCTTTAACTTAGAATATCCCGCATTGATGGCCTTGCCTTCAAGGTCCGATAGAATTAAATCTAAATCTAATCTATCATTCTCAAGTGGGTATCTAGTCAACGAAGTCAATCTTCCGATTCGAGAAGACAACATAATGGTTGTTCCTTCGTTTTCCATAGTAAAAACAAGTCTCTGAAATTTTGATACCTTAAGATTTTCGACACATTCATAGACATTGATTTTCTCCTTGCTCTCGGAAGAAGAAATACGCGAAGCAACTGCATCTGTCTGTGTAGTTTGCTGTTGCTGTCTTGTCATTGCTCTGGTGGTTACACGCAAAATCTTGTTTTGTTCGCTTTCTAAATTTTTGATAAAAGAAAAATCGATTCGAGACAGTGCATCCGCACAAACATTCTCCGAACCTTTCAAATATTCAATTTCGAAATCATATTCTGACAGATCAAATTTAATTCTACTGAGTTTACTAGACGGATCTTTCATGGTGAACAAATATTGTAACGGTTTGTGATCTGTTCGAGCCACAAACTTAACCCCATAAAGATAAGGTCTGAAGTACGTGATAGCAAAGTGAATTCCAAGGAGTTCTTTCTCGATGGTGGATTTATTAAGTTCACCCTTCGTGAAGGACCTTGACGCAAACGAAATTGGTAGATCCTCACCATTGAAATCTTGCGAAAGAACCGCTCCTACTCCGTACTTAGCAGCATCTGTAGTTACGTAAAAAGGTTTTGAAAAATCCGGATATTGCAATAATTTTGGGCTTTGCAAGCTTGATTTTAATTTTTGAAAAGAATTCTCGCACTCGTCTGTCCAGTTAAATTGAATATTCTTCTTGGTGATATGATTTAATGGTGCGGCTAAATCTGCAAAATGAGGAATAAAACGTCTGTAGTAATTACAGAAAGCTACAAAACGCTTAACACTGTCTTTATCGGCTGGCTGTGGGTAATTTTTAATTGTTTCGTATTTTGAAGTGTCCGGCAAAATACCTTTATCTGTGCAGGTATGCCCCAGATAAGTAATTTCTGAACGAAAGAAATGACACTTTTCCGCGTTCAATTTAAGATTATATTTTTTGCATGTAGCAAAAACTGATTCCAGATTTTGAAGATGATGACTTTTGGAATTTCCGAGGACAATTAAATCGTCCATGTATAAAAAACATGTAAAGGGATCTAAGCCACTGAAAGCGATGTTCATCATCCTCTGAAATGAACTAGGAGCTATATTTAACCCAAAGGGTAAAACTTTAAAACGGAATGTACCTTCATCTGTACTGAAAGACGTGAAGTCTCGTGAGTCCAGTATAGTACAGTGCAGTATAGTATAGTGGAAGGTTTCACGCAGGCAGGATCGCCATATAAAACAATGCACTCAGGTTGGTTGCTGACAAGTGACTGACTTTATTGAAATTATTACAGCTTATTACAAATAATGCATACTTGCATATACACTCATACACAGGCAAGGGTGATTTCGCTGTCACTCCATGCGAACACTGCATGAATTGGTATCTTGAGAGTGCTCTCAGTCCTTTTTAGGAGCTGTGCTAAGAGGACAGCTCCGCAAAGTTCCAATCTGGGAAGAGTTATTTTTCCTTTTTGTGGAGCCACACGAGTTTTAGCCGTCAGAAGATGAACAGTGGTTTGTTTTCCTGTGGTTACGCGAATGTAGATGCAGGCTGCAAATGCCTTTTCTGAGGCATCAGCAAAACCGTGCAGTTCAACTCTGGATTGTGGCGTGTATTGGGTCCATCTCGGGATTCTTATTTCTTCAATGGCTGTAATGTCATTCCTGAAGTCCTTCCACCTGTTTATGATGACTTCTGCTGGTTTTTGATCCCATCCAACCTCTTCTTTCCAGAGCATTTGAATGATGATTTTGGCGCGGAGAATGACTGGAGCCAGCCATCCGATTGGATCGAAAATAGAGGCACTCTCGGATGTTATGCCACGTTTTGTTAGGATCTCTTTCGGTCTGAGCTTGACGGTGAATTGAAATGCGTCTCTAAGTGGATTGTAGTATATACCGAGAGACTTGACGATTTCATCTCCTTTGAATTGGATATTCCTTAGCTCGCGCAATTCTTCTGGGATAATCTGTGTAAGCTCCCAGGAGTTTGTTACCCATTTGCGAAGGTTGAGTCTGCCGAGTGCAGTCAAAGCCATGATTTGAGTGTAGAGCTCTTTTGCTTCGTTTAGAGAATGTGCGCCGGTAAGCATATCGTCTACGTAGAAATCGTTTTTCAAGACTGATGCTGCTTGTGGGTATTAATTGCCTTCATCCTTTGCTAGTTGGTGTAGTGTTTTGACAGACAGGAAGGTTGCAGGTCCTGTGCCATACGTCACTGTATTAAGTTGATATTCCTGAATTGGGTCACGTGGAGAGTCTCGATATAAAATGCGATGGAAATTTCTGTCTGCTGGGTGGAGAAGAATTTGTCGAAACATCTTCTCGATGTCAGCTGAACAGACGATTTTATATGTTCTCCATCTCATCAGTATAGCAGGGAGATCATCTTGTAGTTTGGGACCAGTGTGAAGCAAGTCATTTAGTGATACACCAGAGAATGTTTTAGCTGAAGCATCGAATACCACTCTTGTTTTGGTGGTGGTGCTATCAGCTTTAAAGACGGCATGATGCGGTAAGTAGTAGACGGCGTCTGATGGCCCGGAGTAAGTCGGCACCGGCGTCATGTGAGCAAGTTCGAGGTACTCATGCACGAATTGTGAGTAATCCTTCTTAAGCTGCGGATCCTTGGCAAACTTTTTCTCCATTGATAGGAATCGAGCGACTGCTTGTCCTCTAGATTCTCCGAGTTGAAATTGGCTGTTTTTGATGAAGGGAAGACGCACTTGGTAACGCCCATCATTGGTTCTGGAATGAGTCTCTTCGTAGTGAGCCACGCATTCTTGTTGCTGTTGAGTTGGTGCAGAATCCTCGACGTCAATCTCCCAGAAGGTACGCAGAGAGTGATCGATTTCTGCCAGCGAGATGAGGCAAGAGACTTCAGTTTCTGATGATGGACTGAAGGAATTTCCCAGAATGATCCATCCAAGCTGAGTATCTTGAGCAATTAGCCCGCTGTTGTCCCGCTTGATGTTATTTTTGATAATCTGGGCGTAGAGCTGCGTGCCGATGATGACATCAATTGAGCCAGGAGTGTCATATCTTGGATCGGCTAAGACGAGCTTCTCTTCCTTGTGAAGAGTGAAGAGGGATTCGACCGGTTTGGTTGGCAAGAAGGATGACAACTTAGGAAGCACCAAAGCTTTAGTGTACCATTTATTGTTTGAGGGGAATCTCGGTGCGATGACAAGATCGATGATGTTTTTGCAGACAGTTGTTTTAACATCTCCTATCCCCTTGATTGAAGTTGACGCCTTCTGTCTCGGAAGCTGTAACGCCTGGGCGGCATTCTCAGTAGTAGTCTCAGGAGTCACCAGAACCGGTATCTAGAAGAGCGCGGTATGACTGCCACTCTCCAGACTTGTTGCGAATCTTAATTTGTGCTGTTGGGAGCACAACGGATGTCGAATTGACGTGCATAGCCACAGCGTCGGTAGCATTCACATCTTCCTCTTGGACAGCATCCGGAACAGAGGTGTGGTGGCTTGCACTGGAGTCTTTCTTTTGCTCGACGTGGAGGAGCGTATGGTGCTTTTTCTTGCAGACAAAGCAGGACTTCTTACTCTTACATTCCTCATTCTTGTCATGGTACAGACAATTGAAACAAAGACTGTGATCTTTTGTGTGTTGTTTGCGTTCATAAGGAGACATTTTCTTAAACGCTGGGCACTTGATCAGTGGGTGGTCCTTGTCGCATTTGGAACAGTTGTTTGAGTCAGAAGTTGTAGTGTGAAAGGACTTCTTCTTATAGTCCTTTTGTTGGTATTCTCTTGGAGCTGAGCGAAGTATCCTGAAGCGCTTGAGCAGGAATTGGAGTAGCTCCGCGATAGTTGGTACTGCAGTGACGTCAGAAATGTTTTCCTCAAAGGCTTTGATCGTGTCAGAGTCGAATTTTTGCATCGCGATCGTGACTATCATGGGATCCCATGAGGAGACATTGTAGCCGAGATTTCTTAACCCTGCCATGCATGCATTGATACAATCATGGAGCTTAATTACATCTTCAGCGGATCCTCCATTGAGTCTTTTGAACTGGACAATGGAGTTCATGTAATTGCCCACCATTAGACGTTTATTCTCATATCTGGCCTTCAATATCGCCATTGCACTCTGGTAGTTGGTGTTGGAGAGAGCAAGGTGCGATATCATTTTTCTGGGTGGCCCTTCGAGGTTGGAAATAAGATACTGCATTTTTTGCACTCCACCCAGCGTACGATTGTCATGAATGACGCTGGTGAATAGCTCAATGAATGTTTGCCAGTCATTTTCCTTGCCCGAGAATTTTTGTAACTTGATCGGGGGGAGTTTCGGAAGATAACTTGGTTGCGGCCATTCATTGTTTCGGCCAGCATTTTGCTGGAGCGCTTGTCGTAATCTTTCCATTAAATCGTCGCGAGGTGGGTGTGGCTGATCTTCAGTTGGCACATTCGGTGGCAGAGGGAGCGGGTCTGAAGGTGCATCGGATGGCCATGGGTACGGGTTGGTGTCAGTGCTAAGTAGAGGCATTGAGAGTTCGCGGTCAGAAATTTTTGCTGCCTCAATAAATTTCTTTGTTTATTCATAAGCTGCCTTTCCAGTGTTGTATGTGTCATGTAGAAAGTACTCATGTGATTTGTCAGCGAAATTCCTGATTTGAGAATCGGCCGCGTCGAAGGCTTCCCATTCGGTGTCAAGAGAAATAAGAGTGTTGCGATAGTAATTTTCTCCCTTTTGTGCTCGTGATTGTGGACCATCTTGTTCAAAAGTTGAGCGAATGCGGACAAAATTCGCTATGCGAATTATCTGATCGTCAACCAACTTGGAGATGTTCATCGTGCAGTAGGAAAAAGTCCACGTATCGAATTTGTTCTTATAACTTTTTTTATTGGGAAATCGACTCTAAAATCTTGCGTTCCTCTTTTCTCAGTTTCTGGATTTCCTTCTTGAGCTGCCGTATTTTGACACTGCGGCCTGCCCGTTTCCTGTGCTTCTTCTTGCCTGCTGTCTTGGCAGTTGCAGCCCCAATGGATTGGGTGATGATCTGCTTGAGCTGCTGGAGATCAGCTGGATTGTTGATGGTGATCGTCAGAGATCGATGATTGTCCACTCTCCTTGGAGATGCGCCTGCTGAGATGGACTCACGTTGGTTGCGATGTTCACAAATGCCACGGCGGTCACTAGAAGAATCGCCGTGCAGAAATGGAGTGTACCGTTGTGGTCCTGGGATGAAGATTTTGTTGTCAGAGGAAGATGGCCTGAAGCGGTGTGATCGTGGGATGAGCCTCCTTGTAGATGATGTTGGAATATGTTGTTTCCGTCCGGGTGAGTTGATCTTCTTGTATTCCCTCGGCTTATTGTCACTCTCTTTCAGGGGTGAGTCGTATTTGATGACCAGGGATTCCCGCTTCTTCAGAGTGAGCTTGGGGATGGTGAAGATTGGGCCGGAAGATTGGTGAGTCAGATTTATCGTCCTTGGTGGTGTAACAGGGCGCCCCGAGCGTTGACGGGCGTGCTCTTTCAAGGAGATTGGTGTAGTCTTCTTCCTCACTGTAGGATGCTCGTTGATGCGTTCCGCGTTCTTGATGAGCCACTCTTTGACGATCTTGCGGTTGTTTGGGGTGTCAGATGAATTCACTGCAATGTAGTAGGGATGTGTGGTTCGTTAGTCTCAAAGACCAAATCTTTTGATCAACTTCGACTAGTGCTCGAAGGACCAATGTAGTTTCCAGCCAAGGGGTTGTACTGGAACCCACATAGAGGGGGAGAATAATCTAAAATCTCGTCAGATTATTCCCCTACTCTTTGGCGACAGTGCGCGGAGTTTGCTGTTCCTCTTCAGGGATCTCTAGTAAGATTTCCCTCCGCCTTTTGATCAAATCCACAGAGCTTGAGGCAGAAATGCCCTCAGTGGACTCGGCGTGAGATGAAGAGGAAGAAACTTCTCGCAGTCACTGTCCAGGAGCCGTAATCTCTGGTTTTGAGATGGCTCTTGGGAACTGATCAGCCTTGTTTCACTGACTCGGAGTTACTTGGCGATTCAGTCGTTGGTGAGACAGCGTTTCCACTTACTGATGAAATCTTGATGGCTGCTTCGGTGTGGAGCCTCTCGGAGTGGTTTTCCTCAGGGGTGGTGATGGTCACAGTAAGAACAATTTACTTGACTGCTAATTGCTATCTGATTTATTCAGTGTCTACACCCGTCTTATAAAGGGAATTTTGTTATTATTAGTTTCCCCTTATTCGCGACTTATTTCAAATTTAGGTCGCTCTCATTACAAAAGTGCTGACAATAATTGGGTTACTATTTTAATGTGACTGCCGCGTTGCCCAAGACAATGTTTTGGGCGTTGTCTAAGAATGTTCTTCCTGAACATCATCAATAACATCCCGCCCACGTTGAATTGTAACTTTCAACAGGATCGGAATATGGTCGCTACCCAAGGTATTTTCATACAAATTCCATTCGCAATCAGCAGCGAGATGGCTTGATGCGCAGGACAAATCGATTGCACTAGAACTGCGGGGCGGACACGCGATCCTAGTGCATCTGCCATCATTCAAAACCGTCATATCAGCAACCTCCAGCCATTCCTCCAACATTACACCCCAACTGTTAGACGATTCTGCACCCCAGAGTACACTGTGTGCATTGAAATCCCCCAGAATCAGGCAATTTCTATCTCTAGAGTTCTCCAACAACACCTCCAAACCAACCCTCGTGTGGCAAGTACCTGGAGATATAATTGAGAAGGGTAATTAGATATCTCCCTGCGCACGTACACTACGCCTTCTGAAGGTACCTGGAGATTAGAATATTGCAACTGGTTAAGAATCTCCTGTCCACACAATGCAATTGACTTCGTGAAAGATACCTGGAGGGCGAGAGAGAGAATAATGTGGTTAGAACCCGGCGAAAATGACCGGATTCTTCTCTCTGTCCTCGTGACGCTTTGATCTTCTCCTTGTCTGTGATCTTTCTCCTTGTCTACACTCGCTGTGATCACTTTTCCACTTTCAACTTCTGCTGTGATAATAGTCTGTGATATTCCACTAGTTTTTTACTTATTTAACTATTTATTTAACTTTAAATTATTCTCCAATTCACTTCTTTTCTTTACTCATCCGAATTCTTCCACCAAGTCACGCAGCGTCGCCACCTCCGCGGCATTATTGCAGTTTCGCCGCAACTCGCCCATCATCAACTCACCCACACAAGGAATAGTCATTCACATTCTCCCTCCCGAAACTACTCTAGAGGCAGTTTATAAAACAATCCACTCGGGTTGGTTGCTGACAAGTGACTGACTTTATTGATTTCATTACAGCTTATTACCAATAATGCATACTTGCATATACACTCATACATCTCCCTCGCGAATTTAATCTGTTAGAACTAAATGGAAATGCATTTCTTAAACAATATGAGTAGATGGCCTTTCCACCCCCTTAAAAGGAATGCATTTGCATTATCTCAATAATTGGAAGCCAACAATCTTGATAAAATTTGATTGAGCCAAAATTTTAAAACAACTTCGCACAGGAAGCGGTGAAAATTATTACATTTAACAAATATTATGCTTGTGCAGTAACCTCGTCAAAAAAGAAAAAAAAATTTTCGCTGCTATAAAATGAATTGAGCATAAAATATAATTATTAAGTAATATATATATATATGTGTAAATTTATTAGGTATTTTATGATATTACCTATGTTTTATCATGAAGATATAAGAAATAATATTTAAAATATGTTTCATTGCAATGATAACAAAATTATGTATGTATATAACCCATTATGTCCACTAGTTGTTTCGTAATATTTCATATGAGAGTATGTATATATAATTTATTTATTTACTTTTTTTTAATTTATTTCTTTTTGTGTGTTTTTTTTTTGTTTTTTGTTTAGCTTGTATATATGTATGTATTATTGAAATTTTTGAGATTATATTTATAGGGTATATTGGATAGAGGTTACCATTCTAAAAAAAAAATTAATTACTTAAATTATTTTACTATCCTATTCTTATGAATCAAATGATCCTTATTAGTTGCAATATCTCTTACTGTAATATTCAAATTGTCTACATTAATTACTTTATAAGGACCTTTGTGAAGAGGTTCATGTTTATGTCGAGATTCATTTGTGACGAGCACTAAATCATTAACAGATAATTCAATAGGTCTAACATTCTTATCATAATATTTCTTATTATGCAATTTTGACTTAATGATTGATTCTGAAGCAGAGAGGTGTGCGCTTTGAAGATTGTATCTCAGTTCTTTAACGTAGTCATCGAAATTATACACAGGATCGATTGAGTGTTTTGAAAGAAAATTTAACACATTCGCCGTTTTTCCAAACACCAACTCGAAAGGAGTATACAAGTTCAGAGATTCGACTGGAGTGCAATTGTAGCAATAAGTGAAATATACCAAATATTGGTCCCAATCAGCAGATGATGCACCAACATACGCGCGAAGGTATTCGTTAAAGCTACGATGATTTCTTTCAACAGATCCTAACGATTCGTGGTGATAAGGAGTAGAAAAATTATGAGTCACTGATAAAAGTTTTGTCAACTCTGAAAATAACTCATTTTTATACTCTGTACCACAGTCTGTCCTTAATTCGATTGGAAAACCATATTTCAAAAAAATTTCCTGAACTAAAGCTTTAGCTACTGTAGTTGCATCCTTGCTAGGAACTGCTACCGTAGTCAAGTACTTAGTGAGATCACAAATAGCAGTGACTGCATATTTGTTCCCTCGTTCTGTTACCGGAAAAGGACCTATTGTGTCAATAATTAAGACGTCAAAGGATCGCTGCGGAATAGATGTAATGCACATTGGCATTTTCGTACTTGGCTTTGGTTTAGTGGTTTGGCAAATGTGGCACGATTTGACATAAATTCGGATATTCTTATTCATACCATGCCAACGAAAACGGCTTTTAATTTTTGCCATTGTTTTCCTAAACCCACAATGTCCTCCGTGAATATGTGAATCATGAAAAGTTTGTAAAATCTTTAACTTTTCATCCTTTTCTGAGACTGTTTCTATAAGTTGTTCGATAGCTATCGTAATTGATTTTAAACATTCATTGCCGGCCTGTTTAAATTCACTAGTTGTGCACAACTTGAAGATATCATCATCACGTGATATCTTTAACTTAGAATATCCCGCATTGATGGCCTTGCCTTCAAGGTCCGATAGAATTAAATCTAAATCTAATCTATCATTCTCAAGTGGGTATCTAGTCAACGAAGTCAATCTTCCGATTCGAGAAGACAACATAATGGTTGTTCCTTCGTTTTCCATAGTAAAAACAAGTCTCTGAAATTTTGATACCTTAAGATTTTCGACACATTCATAGACATTGATTTTCTCCTTGCTCTCGGAAGAAGAAATACGCGAAGCAACTGCATCTGTCTGTGTAGTTTGCTGTTGCTGTCTTGTCATTGCTCTTGTGGTTACACGCAAAATCTTGTTTTGTTCGCTTTCTAAATTTTTGATAAAAGAAAAATCGATTCGAGACAGTGCATCCGCACAAACATTCTCCGAACCTTTCAAATATTCAATTTCGAAATCATATTCTGACAGATCAAATTTAATTCTACTGAGTTTACTAGACGGATCTTTCATGGTGAACAAATATTGTAACGGTTTGTGATCTGTTCGAGCCACAAACTTAACCCCATAAAGATAAGGTCTGAAGTACGTGATAGCAAAGTGAATTCCAAGGAGTTCTTTCTCGATGGTGGATTTATTAAGTTCACCCTTCGTGAAGGACCTTGACGCAAACGAAATTGGTAGATCCTCACCATTGAAATCTTGCGAAAGAACCGCTCCTACTCCGTACTTAGCAGCATCTGTAGTTACGTAAAAAGGTTTTGAAAAATCCGGATATTGCAATAATTTTGGGCTTTGCAAGCTTGATTTTAATTTTTGAAAAGAATTCTCGCACTCGTCTGTCCAGTTAAATTGAATATTCTTCTTGGTGATACGATTTAATGGTGCGGCTAAATCTGCAAAATGAGGAATAAAACGTCTGTAGTAATTACAGAAAGCTACAAAACGCTTAACACTGTCTTTATCGGCTGGCTGTGGGTAATTTTTAATTGTTTCGTATTTTGAAGTGTCCGGCAAAATACCTTTATCTGTGCAGGTATGCCCCAGATAAGTAATTTCTGAACGAAAGAAAGGACACTTTTCCGCGTTCAATTTAAGATTATATTTTTTGCATGTAGCAAAAACTGATTCCAGATTTTGAAGATGATGACTTTTGGAATTTCCGAGGACAATTAAGTCGTCCATGTATAAAAAACATGTAAAGGGATCTAAGCCACTGAAAGCGATGTTCATCATCCTCTGAAATGAACTAGGAGCTATATTTAACCCAAAGGGTAAAACTTTAAAACGGAATGTACCTTCATCTGTACTGAAAGACGTGAAGTCTCGTGAGTCCGGATGAAGGGGGATTTGGTGGAAGCCAGAGAACAGATCGACAATACTAAAGTATTTCGATCGTCCTAGACTGTCTAGAATGTCGCTAATTCTAGGAAGAGGGTAACGGTCTGGAATAATTTTTTTATTTAAGGCGCGGAAGTCCACACAAAGACGCCAGCGTTTTTCACCATTAATAGATTTTTTGGGTACTAATAGGATAGGAGAATTATAGGAAGAATTACTTTCTTCAAGGCACCCTTGATCTATTAATGTGTGAATTTGTTTCGCAACCTCCGCTTTTTGAGCGAAGGGAATCCTTCGATTCTTAATATATACCGGATGGTCATCAGATACCTTAATATGCTGTTCATAAAAATTATTAACAGTGAGCTGATCATCCGGTAATGCGAAAACCTCCTCATATTTTGCTACTAATTGTAACATTTCCGGTCTAGAATGAGCCGGAACGTTTTTCTCTATCTTCTCCAAGACACGACGCGTTCGATCATTGTTACTTAAGTCGCCCAGTTTATAAACATTAAAATCTGTTAAATTATGAGTTTTAATGTTTATGTTTTTGTTTATCATCACTGGGAAATCGTTGACATTTAGTAAACGAATGTATTCGCTTTCTTTAGATACAATTTGTCTAGCAAGATACACTTTCTCATGGATTTCCTGAGGTTCAACAACCAAGTCTGTGTTGTCCCCAAAGGAAACCGAAAAAATTCTGTCTATCTCGCAACGAGGGGGTACAACAATAAGATCTTCAGATGGACCTTGATATATATGGGTCGAATAACAACAGCCGTTTATTAAAATTTTGAATTGCATGGATCCAGTGTCAATAATAGATTTGTATTTCTTTATAATGTCTTTTCCTATGATTCCAGACGAAGGAATCGGAAAATCATCAGATACAACATGAAGTGTTTCAAACAGATAAAATTTATCAAAATTTAATTTAACCTGTACAGTTCCTAAGGTTTCGATTACTTCTGACGTAATACCCCTAAGAGAGCATTTATTTTGAGAATTTATTTTACTAAACAGCACTTCAGAAAATTTCACCAAAGAAATGTCTGCTTGTGTGTCCAAAAGGAAAGAAGAAAATTTTTCCGAATTATTGATTTGAGCCAAAACATAATCAGCAAAGTCAGAGTTAATATTGAAAACACTTCTATTAATCAAAATTGAATCTTCCGTTAATTGGGTAAATCTCCCAGGGTGAGCTGGGAGATGCCCGCGTTTCCCTGGGCGACATCCTGGGATCCATTATCAACTTGTCCTTGAATAACACGGACATTTCTTTGAAAAGGATTGTTATTATTACGATGGCGGTTATTGCCGCCGCGACCGCCGCCACGACCACCAGAACCACCGTTGTTGCTATTGTTATTGTTGTTATTATTATTATTATTGTTGTTATTCTTTCCCTTGCCACGTCCGCGACCACGACCGCGACCTCGACCACGATCATATTTCAAAACCGAATAGGGCTTTGAAGTCCTTTGGCTGGCTTCGGCTTGAAGAGCAACCTCAATACCACCAGCCAACGTATCGACTCGGCTCGCGATTACCACCGACTGTATCTCCGGTCTGAGGCCAGAGATGAAGGAAGACAATCCAGTGGCATCGTTCAGCTTTGTAACGACTGACGCGGCAGTAGGGTTCTGTGATACATGAAGTTCATTCAATTTGAAAACTAATGTCTCTACAAAACCCGCAAAATCGTTCACAGAACGGCTGTCCTGTCGTGCCGAGCTAAGTTTTTTTTTGTAATAAGGACACCGTTTCTTTCGGTTTGAACCTATCTAGTAAAGTCTTCTTAAACTCTTGGAAAGAAGTTGGTTCACTTAAGAATGCATTCTTCGCCTTATCCTTCAGCCGAGTTTTCAGCAAAAATTTTAAATACAGGGTTTGCTGCGCTACGTCTTTCAGAGTGTCGTTGTAATACTCTGCGGTGTCTAAAAAATCAAGTACATTGACACCCGAAAATTCCCCCACAATAGATGAGGCTGTTTTCAAATTAAAATCGGACATATTCAAAGGATTACCGGTACCGGCAATGGCAAGAATAGGGTTCGGCGCGATTTCGTTTTCAATTTTTACTTCTGAGTTACCACGATCTTCACTACCGTCATTAACATCGTCAAAATGATCATCTTCATCGTCTTGATCATCTTCATCATCTTGATCATCTTCATCATCTCGATTATCTTCATCATCCGAGGACAATGTGATAATCGACGTGGGATCAATAGGAGAAAACCCGGTTGGAATTGAAATATTTTGGTTAATTTTCCCAAAAACTCTCGCGAGTCTCTCTTTAATCGCGGTGTGTTCTCTGTGTATAATTTCTCTGGAATTAGTATTCCAGTCGTTCCAAGTGTCGCGTACGATAGATACAAAAGCGTTATAAGATTCAATTAAAAGTAATTTGTTCTTTTCAATAGTATGAGGGTTTTTGCTTAACTCCTTTTTTAAAAATCTCTTACAGTATCTGTAGATGTCTGTTTTAAGTGTACGCAACCTCTCTGCAGCAGTACCAGGCATAACCTATTGAGAAAAAATACTTCATTAAAATTTGGGTCAATTTTTAATGTGGCAATAAGAGAATGAGGTCAAATCCACTGTTTATGTTTGAAGCAAAACTCGATGACCGATGCTATTTGCACGTCAAGCAGAAGGTGTATATAGGTCGGGTATCCAAAGTACATTTGATGCGCTGCAAAGCACGATGACCGCTGTAATTTGCATGTCAAGCAAAAGGTGTATATAAGTCGGGTATCCAATGTCCATTCGATGCGCGGCAAAGCTCGATGACCGCTAATACTGCATCAGCAAAATCAGGAACTCGGAGTCCGCCACGTCCAAAGTACGATCTCTTTCAACACTTCGATTATTGATTGATTTTTTTTGTAATGTTCTTTTATTTATTTATTTATTTATTTATTTATCCATTTATTTATTTATGTTTTCTTGGTTTTTTTTTTCACTTAAACATTCACCGTATACCTTTTCTTAACGGATTTTAAATGTGCTCTATATATTTTAAAACCGAAATTTAACACATTGAGTACTAAGAGAGCAATTAGGATGATCAAAAACTCTTTGGACTCCACACTCACTGTGTCCACAATGATACTATTGGTTACTACACCATTTGATTCAACGTTCTTAGAATTGTTGCTACCCATTTTCACGCAGTCAGGATCGCCATATAAAACAATCCACTCGGGCTGGTTGCTGACAAGTGACTGACTTTATTGATTTCATTACAGCTTATTACCAATAATGCATACTTGCATATACACTCATACAAGTTTCGCCAATCTATTCACCGCTCTCTTGACTATTCCTCCGGCTGTTTTCAGGGAAACAACGCGGGTGATGTTGTCCTTCCCGGGATGACATTCGATGACTCGACCTCGTGCCCATTCTCCTGGCTTCACGTTGTCCTCCTTGATTAACACGAGATCTCCCGGTTGAAGAGACGAGCTTTCTTTCATCCACTTCGGGCGCTGCTGCAGACTCGTGAGATATTCATCCTTCCAGCGTTTCCAAAAACTCTGCACAGCTCTCTGCAGCAGCTCGTATCGCTTCAGCCGATTGATCGGCACGTCCGTCACGTCCTCACTGGGCAGCAATCGCACCGGCTGGCCGATTAAGAAGTGCCCTGGGGTGAGGATCTCTTCATCCTCGGGCTCCACTGACATCGCGCAGAGTGGCCTGGAGTTGAGGCAGGCCTCGATCTCGCACAGGATAGTGGAGAACGCCTCAAAGGTGAGCTTCGTCTCGCCCAGCACACGCCTGAGATGAAACTTCACTGATCCAACGCCTCTCTCCCAGAGGCCTCCGAACGTCGGCGCGTACGGCGGGTTGAAGTGGAACTGCACATTCGCTTCGCCCATGATTCTGCAGATGTTTCCACGAAGATGCCGTTCCTCTTGCGGGCTGTTCGCGCTCGCCCCGACGAAATTGCGACCATTATCACAATAGATGTGCTGACAATAGCCTCGTCGAGAAACGAATCGTCGCAGTGCGTTGATGAAACCCTCAGATGATTGATCACCAACTGCCTCGAGATGCACTGCCTTCGTTGTCATACACACGAATAGACATATGTATGATTTCACAGTCCGGGCGTTTCTCAAACTCGATGTCTTCATCTCGAACGGCTCGGCGTAGTCGCATCCAGTGTTCACAAATGGGCGGATTTGGCTCACCCGCACGGCTGGCAAATCCCCCATCACAGGCGTTTGGAGAGTCGGGCGGTGTCGGAAACACGTCACACATCTGTTCAGCACCTTCTTCGTCACATTCCGGGCACCGACAATCCAATATTCACTCCTCAGCAAGCCAGTCGTCAGATTGAAGCCCGCGTGAAGATTCTTCAAGTGACAATTCTCAATGAGGAGCTCAACGAATCGATGATTTCCTGGGAGAATTATCGGGTGTCGTGCATCATACTTCAAGTCAGCATACTTCAGACGTCCACGCACTCTAAGCACTTGATTTTCATCCAGAAAAGGCAATAGCTTGAAGAGCTTGCTACCCTTGGAAATAGGCTCCCCCCGTCGGCATTGAGCGATCTCCTCACTAAACTCCTCTTCCTGGACATCTCGGATGAGATGCAGTAAAGCCTTCCTTCGCTCTTTGACTGTCAATGGGCCTATTTCTCGCTGTTCCTTCTTGGTGCACATCCGCACAAGATAAGCCACAATTGTCACCACTTTGCGATAGCTCGAGATCTCCTTCACGAGATCGTACACTGAAAACCTCTTCTTCAGCGTGGCGTGAGCTAGCAATTTGATGACTCTCTCTTCACCTGTGTTCTTGGGGATGATGACTTTGTTCTCTGGCCAGGCGCTTGAGTCCTCAGCGAGCCATTGCGGGCCTGTCCACCAGAGAGGATGATTCACTAGTTCACTGGGCTTGACGCCTCGCGACAAGCAGTTTGCTGGATTTTCCTTTGTTGGCACGTACCGCCACGCTCCTGGTGAAAGCACGTCCAAGATCTTTGCTGTGCGCTGGGCAACGAATGTGTGCCACCTTCTGGGATGGGATTGAAGCCACTGCAACACGGTTGTTGAGTCACTCCACGCTGTCACGGAGACTTCCATGTGAGGATATGAATCCTTTATCTTCTTCACCACTTCACTCAGCAGACAAGCAGCTCTGAGTTCCAATCGAGGGATTGATGATGGCTTCAGTGGAGCGACCTTGGATTTGGCGATGACTAGACGTATTTTGCATTCTCCCTGAATACAACTCCGTGCGTAGATCACCGTGCCGAGGGCCTTCTCTGACGCATCCGCAAATGCGTGCAACTCCAGTTTGTGACCATCATGAGGAAGACATCGTGGGACGTGAACTGATTGTAGCGCTTCGAACTCACGTCGGATCGCCTCATACTCCTGTTTGTCTTCCTCCTCTAAAGCATCGTCCCAGTCTTTCGTAGCAGCCCAAATCTTCTGGAAGAGGATCTTAAATCTCACCGTGACAGGAGCCACAATGCCCAAAGGATCGTAGATCTTCGCTGCTTCCGACAGAAACGCGCGTCGCGTCTCGACTTCTTGTGGAATGTGGATTTCCACCTTCATGACATCTTGCTCTGGATACCACCTCAGGCCCAGAGTGCTGACTCCAGTATCGACTTCATGGGAAGCAATCTCATGCTCCGCCTTTGTTCCCAGGACTTCTTTCGCATTGGAGGCCCACTTACGAAGTGCAAATCCTCCCCCCATCAACACTGTCTTGATTTCGTCACTGACACGAACTCCATCTTCAATTGTTGCTGCGCCATACAGCAGATCATCCATATAAAATCCACACTGGATTCCATTGCTCGCTTCTGGGAAAGATTCCTTTGCATCAATCGCCATCTGCTGAAGAACTCGTGTCGCTAAATAGGGCGCACTAGCCGTGCCGTATGTGACAGTATTGAGGCGATACAACTTCACTGGTTCGAGAGGGCTTTTGCGCCAAAACACCCTCTGATAGTCTCGGTCTTCCTTGGCAATTTGTACCTCCCGGTACATCTTCTCAACATCAGCTTGAAAGGCAATCTCGTACGTCCTAAAACGCAGCAAGATTGACAGGAGATCATCTTGAACTTGTGGCCCTATTGCCAAGGCATCATTGAGTGAGATTCCGCTTGTCGTCTTACATGAGGCATCAAATACGACACGCAGCTTCGTCGTCGTACTCGATGGGCGTACAACAGCCTGATGTGGAATAACATAAGCCTCCTTCCTGTCTTTCTCAGCGTCTGGGACAGCTTCCATGTGCCCCAATGTCAAGTATACCTCCATGAAGGCTGTGTATTGACTGTGAAAGTCCGGATTGCGCCTGAACTTGCGCTCCATCGTGAAAAGACGAGCCTGAGCTGCCTTCTCAGAGTTGCCGAGCGTCTCACGATCCTCATTGAAGCACAATTTGACCGTGAATCTTCTAGTCTCATCTCGCTTGTGGGTGGATATGAAATCATCTTCACATCGCTGCTCTTTCTTCGTCAAGAACTTCGTTTCCGGCAACTCTTCTGCTTCCCAGAATCGCTGAAGCGATTCTCCGAGATCCAAGTGCGTGTGAAGCACCTGAATTGTGTCCTGCTGCGAGCCATCACTCACAGCTCCTCCTAGAACCCATCCGAATATCGTCAGCTGGGCAATCGGGCAGCCAGGAGCCGATCGCTTATCCGGAAGGTTGATTTCCCATGCATACTCCATTCCGAGTATGATATCAATCTTTGAGGGTCGGTTAAACTCTGGATCAGCCAACTGAAGCCCCTCAATGTGCTTCATCCCATTCGTAGAGATCGGTTGTCCGGGCAAATTGCTTGTCAACTTGTCCAGGATGAATGCTTTTACTGAGATCTTCTTCTCAGCGTCATATCGTGAACCAATGTGCAGGTCCATTGCGCCCCTCGTTTGGCCAACATTGGATTGTCCTGTTCCTTTAATTGCAAGTCGTGCGTGAGTGCGCTGCAAATTGAGACGTTGAGCGCACGCTTCAGTTATCAGAGTACACTCGGAACCCTGATCGATCAAGACTCGGCAATCTTGCTGCACTCCATAAGCATCAGTGACCTTGACCAAGGCCGTTGGAAGAAGCACTTTCTTATTGGAGACAGCGTGATGAACAACAACTGAACCGGAGGGCACTTCCTTCTTATCAGACTCGGCTTGTGAGTCCGTGGTGGTTGAATTTGTGTTTCGAGTGTCGTCGTGCAGCAAAGTGTGATGAGATTTTTGACATTTCTGGCATCTGGATTTGCTACGGCAGTCTTGGGCCCGATGCCCATCCCTCAGGCAGTTGAAACACAAGTTCCTTTGTCCGACAGCGCTTCGCTTGCTGGCGAGCGAAAGCTTCCTGAACGTCTCGCATTGAAACAGTTGATGTTGTGCTTGATTACACATTGAACACTTCGCTGTCTCGGTGTGATGGACCTTGATGGCATCACTCTTGTCACGCTTTGAATTCTTTTGCTCTTTATGCACTGGAGTCTCGCGAGACTCCCCATACTTCTCGAGAGAATCCATCCTCCAACTCAGAAACTCAGGAACTTCGCGGTCGCCGTACATCTTATAGCTGAGATTCTGACCCACAACTCTTGAGCTTGTACTTCCTCAAGGGCGTGAATCTCCGCTGATTCTTGAATACATGCTGCAGCGATCTTTTGCAGAACAACCTCACACTTGTCAGCTTGTGTGTTCACCTCTTGTAGCAGCGCGGTAATTCTCGCACATGAGAAATTATCGCGGTCATTGAGATTGTTCTCAATGCGTGTGAGCGCCGCCTTAACCCGTCCTCGACTGCTACGCAGAGCTGTAAGATGTGCCATGATGTCTTCTGATCGCTAAACTTCCCGTTGAGTTCAAAACCACGCTGTAAGACTTCTTCAAAATGGCGGCTTCTTCCTCGTGGATCTTCCAACACTGTGTGATATACTTTTGACCGTCTTGTACGGAAAAGCGTCTTAGGCACAACTTGAGGTCGCTGTGTTGATCGATGAAGGACCAGATTATGTGGCAAGTACCTGGAGATATAATTGAGAAGGGTAATTAGATATCTCCCTGCGCACGTACACTACGCCTTCTGAAGGTACCTGGAGATTAGAATATTGCAACTGGTTAAGAATCTCCTGTCCACACAATGCAATTGACTTCGTGAAAGATACCTGGAGGGCGAGAGAGAGAATAATGTGGTTAGAACCCGGCGAAAATGACCGGATTCTTCTCTCTGTCCTCGTGACGCTTTGATCTTCTCCTTGTCTGTGATCTTTCTCCTTGTCTACACTCGCTGTGATCACTTTTCCACTTTCAACTTCTGCTGTGATAATAGTCTGTGATATTCCACTAGTTTTTTACTTATTTAACTATTTATTTAACTTTAAATTATTCTCCAATTCACTTCTTTTCTTTACTCATCCGAATTCTTCCACCAAGTGACGCAGCGGCGCCACCTCCGCGGCATTATTGCAGTTTTCGCCGCAACTCGCCCATCATCAACTCACCCACACAAGGAATAGTCGTTCACACCTCGTCAATCGGCATCCGTTAGTGGAGTACACCGAAAAAATTCTTAGAGTATATGCACCAAATACTACATCAATTGCTATCACCTCTCCCGATGGCACGCTCAGCTCAACTCTGTTATATCTAATATTATTATTTATTGCAATAAGTACTCCTCCTCCTCTGCTATTCCTGTCCCTCCGCACTGTTGTGTATCCCTGAATTCGACATTGTGAGCCCAAGTTCAACTTTGTCTCCTGTAGAACTAAAATGTCCACATCACACCGACCGCAGGCTATCATCAAATCTTGTACTTTAGACCTCAAACTATTGCAATTCCACTGTAAAATGTTGATTTCTCTTCTTTGATCCATCATGATTGAAGGAGAATCTTAGACAGCATGGGCAGAAACCTGGGGATCAACATATCCACAATCGGAAAAATACAAGTTTTAATCAAATCCACAACTTCTTGAGGCACACCAAACAAATCCAATATATTCAACAAAAACTCTTTCCATCCGCCACACGCCCTCGTAGACTGTCCAGCCCCACCAGATGGTCTCGGCGATTTCCTTTTAGATCCTCGATCCAGCGCAGAACTCAGCAGCCTCGCCACCTTTTCGCCGACACCTGCCTCCTGATTCTCCTCACTGTCGGACTCACAAACCATAGACTCCTCATCGCCTCCAGATTCTCTTTGCTTTCTTCTGTGAAATTCCTTTTGCGTTAATCTGGCTTTATTAAACGCCGATTTAGGTTTTGCACCCCTACGCCTCTTTGCCTCGTCGAGCCTGGGAAAATCCGCTTCTAGATCGAGATCACAGTCAGAATCAATCTCATGGAGCAAGTTGTAAATGTTGTTATCTTCCCGCTGTCTCTTAGTTCCTCGCTCAGCAGCACCATCGCCACTAGAATTGCTTACGATACCTGCAAAAGACACATTATGACGTATTTCCGCTCTCCTCAGTAACGAATCAACATATTGTGCCCTGGCTTTGCATACGTGCTTTTTCTCCGCAAATTTCTGTTTGCAGTTGGGACAATTAAATTGCGACTCGACACACTTCTCAGCCTCTCCGTGACTCAAACCACATTTCTTACACCGAGATCCATTTTTACAAAACTTAATAGTGTGCCCGTATCTGAAGCACCTCTCACAGAACATCACCTTGGGGTTGAAGACATGCACCTTAAGTTCAAGTCCTTCAATCGTGACAAAATCTGGCAGCACCGTACCCTCAAATGTAACACGCACCGCCTTTGCCGCGGTCCATTTCGCCTGCGGCGCCTCGCTAACCGTTTCACCTTCCGCACAAGCATTCATCAACACATTTCCATCAATATCTCTCATCTTTTTGCTCATACGAAAAACTTCAAGAACCCTTATAGATACATTGGGCGCCGCGACCAACTTTCCAACTCCATTAGCAATTAACTTCTCATCCTCATCTAGATCCAGAATAACCACGCCATCGACCTCCACAACATTGGCCTGGATATAAGCCGTGTATTGCGCCACATTCATATCCTTTACACACCTATTTGCCTCCTCAGCATCCTCAAACTCCACCCTGACTTTGTCAGTGAACACCTTTTGAATCCTCCTCGTTTTCTTATATTTCGCAAATAGAATAGACGCCAGAAACATCTGATTAATTGCATTGCCACCAATTGTTTTAATGTACACCACGAACGGCCCACTGTGTTTTGCTGGATATTCCCTCAAACGGGCTTTTGGCGCCACCATGCCCCCACTCTCAGTCATAGCGACTGTTGAGCGGGAGATTAGCCGCCAATATTAAGCCAAATAAACCGGAGACACTGGCACAAAAACTCACCAATTTACAACTCAACTTCCCACTTACACCGGCACACTTCTTTAACTCCACGTTGTGCCCACAAACCCCAATTTCTTAATTAAAGCGATAAACTTATGAAATAAACCCTATCTTACACCCTATAAGAAATCCAACTTAACTACTCTACTCCTTCACCACCTTAGATTATGTTACAGAGAGCACCCTGTAATCGAATAGGCCTAGTGATCTCGTATCACGGCCTGAAAAAGCTAATTGTCAAAGCCACTTCCTATTCGACTCTCTTGCCAAGTGCATCATCATATATTTCGCTCTGTAAAATCAAACACATTTTATCTAAAATTTATATCATAATTGAAGTCTCATTAAATCACCTTTAATCAAGCAATTCTTAGCCTTTTTAATCGTGAGTGGATATTGGGTGTCGTAGCAGTGGACCGTGAGATAGTGAAGATCTCGGCGACGTAGTGGGATACACGAAATAACATAATATAATTCCCAGGTACGTGAGACCACGCCACAACAACTGGCTGACGGGATGGCGAATAACGGAGACTCTTCAGACCGCATGGCGATTCTCTTCGAGTCCGTGGCGACCCTTCTGGTGGAGTTCAAGGCGCTGAAGGACCTCCTCCATCGGAACTCAACGTGGACGCTCTGGCCAGAGGCATCAATCAGTTCTTTTACCAGCCCGAGAACGACCTCACATTCGACACGTGGTATCGGCGCTACAAGAGCACGTTTTCCCAATACGCTGCCACGTTAGACGATGCTGCGAAAGTGAGGCTGCTGTTGAGACGTCTCGACGCCTCTGCCTATGATCGCTATGCCAACAATATTCTGCCACACGAGCCCGCCGCACTCACGTTCGAAGACACCGTCGCGCGCCTCACGAAGCTCTTCAGCAAAGGAGAATCTTTGTTCTGCACGCGCCGAAAGTGCTTGCAACTGACTATCAGGGAATCAGATGACATCGCGACTCACTGTGGCGTCGTGAATCGCCACTGTGAGGCCTTTAAGTTGGGAGAATGCACCGCAGATCACTTCAAGGCCCTCATCTTTGTCAACAGCCTGCAAGGAGAGAAGTACGTGCTTGTCCGGGAGCAGCTATTGACCAAGCTCGAAACTGAGGACGCCAAGAAGATCACTCTGGACTTCATGGTTGAAGAAGCGCGCCGCCTTCTCAATGTTAAGAGTGATTCGCGTCTCGATGCCCCATCCGTGAGTGTCAGTGCGATCCGGAAGAAAGAGTTTGCGCCCAAGAAAGACCGCCCTCCGCGGCCGTGTTATCTGTGCGGCGCAATGCACTATGTGAAGGAGTGCCCCCACGTGACCACCAAGTGCACGGATTGCCACAAAGTGGGTCACAAGACCGGCTACTGCCCGCCCTCTTCGAATCAGGACGCTGATAAGAAAAAGTCTGGCAAGAAATCCTTCTCCGGCAAGAAGAAGAAGAAGTCGTCCAATCAGGCCAGCGCGAATGCTGTATTTTCTGCCCGACGACATGGTAGAAAATATCTCGCGCCAACAGTTAATGGACACACTGTGGAGTTTCAACTCGACTGTGCCGCCGACTTGTCCATTATCTCAGCTGACACCTGGAAGATGATCGGTCAGCCAACACTTTCTCCTGTGTCCATCCGCGTCAAGGATGCCCAGTCACAACCCATCGCTATTCTGGGAGAGTTCGACAGCTCTGTGAGACTTGATGACAGAGAGATCCGTGGACGCTGCTTAGTATCCGAGAAGACATCAGGAAATCTATTCGGAATCGAGTGGATTGAGGCGCTAGGATTGTGGGATCTCGCTCCCAGTGCTTATTGTAGTTCAGTGCACAAGGACGTCGACACTGAGACTGCAATAAAGGAGCTTCAGGCCACCTTCCCCACAGTATTCAACACTCAAATGGGCCAGTGCACGCAGGCCACTGGAACCATCCATCTCAAGCCGAATGTCAGCCCAGTTTTTCGCCCTAAACGCCCTGTCGTGTTTCACATCATGGCTACAATCGACGAGGAGCTTCAGCGACTGCAAGCTTCAGGAATAATCACCCCCGTCGAGTACTCGCCATGGGCTGCGCCCATTGTTGTCGTCAAGAAGCCCAACGGTCGCATCAGGATCTGTGGAGACTATTCTACCGGCCTCAATCAAGCTGTGGAGACGAACGACTATCCAATTCCCGATCCGGATAGCCTCTTCAGCCAATTCGCGGGTAAGAGAGTCTTTAGTCATATCGATCTTTCCGATGCGTATCTTCAGGTCCCAATGAATGAGGAATCCAGTCAATTGCTGACCATCCACACGCATTGGGGACTCTTCCGCTTCAATAGACTGCCGCCTGGCATCCGGAGCGCACCCGGAATATTCCAAGGAATCGTGGAGCGCATGCTGCATAGCCTTCCCGGAGTATTTGTCTATTTTGGCGACATCTGTGTGGCCAGCGACGACCCAGCACAGCATCTGGAGACTCTCAAGGAGGTTTTCAAACGCCTGGAACACTTCAATTTCCGTGTGAAGTTGGAGAAATGCCGTTTTTTCGTCTCGAGCATCGAATTCCTCGGAATTGTGGTGGACGAAAAAGGTCAGCACCCGGATCCCGGCAAAACTAATGCTATTTGCGCAATGCCCGCTCCATCCAATGTGAGTGAACTTCGCAGCTTCCTCGGGGCCGTGCAATTCTGGGGCCGTTTTATCAAGGGCGCGAGCAAAATCCGTGCGCCAATGGATCGTTTGCTCAAGAAAGGTGTTCCGTGGAAATGGTCAACTAAATGCAGGGCCGCATTTAGGAGGTTCAAGACGATCCTGAAGTCTGAACTTCTCCTGACTCATTACGACCCACGGCTGCCCATTTACATCGCGTCTGATGCCTCTTCATATGCGATCGGAGCGGTTGCATATCACGAAATGCCCGATGGTTCACTGAAGGCGTTTTACCACGTCTCCAGGCGACTCACCGATGCTGAACAGCGCTACAGTCAGATCGAGAAGGAAGCGCTGGGCATCGTGTTCGCTCTCAAGAAGTATCACCGCTTCGTGTATGGTCGAAGATTCAATCTCGTCACCGACCACAAACCGCTCGTCTCGATATTCGGAAGCAGCAAAGGAATCCCAGTGCACACTGCCAACCGTCTTCAAAGATGGGCATTGGTGCTGCTTTGCTACGACTTCGAGATCAAATTCACGTCGACCGACAGCTTTGGACACGCAGACGTGCTGTCCCGGCTAACCAGTGCGCGCCAGCAGCCACAGGATGAAGTCGTCATTGCTGAAATTCAACTGGATGAAGATGAGGACAGAGCCATCGTCGAGGAAGCCTCCTCGAAGCTTCCGGTGAATTTCAACATGATACAACGAGCGACTCAGGCCTCGGAGAGTTTGCAAGAAATTGCGAATTACATCAAGACTGGCTGGCCGGCTGCACTGAAATTCATCCACTCCAGGGAAGTAGCAAAATATTATAAGCTCAGAAATTCGCTTTCGCTTATCCATGACTGTGTCTTTTACAGGGAGAGGATCGTAGTTCCGGAGCAATTCCGCAAAAAGATACTGGCCCAGCTTCACCATGCTCATCCTGGCATGTCCAGAATGAAATCAATCGCCCGAGGATACGTCTTCTGGCCGGACATTGATTCGGACATCGAGCATAAAGTCGGAACTTGCACGGACTGCGCCCTCACTGCAAAGAACCCTGTAAAAGCATATCTATCGTCATGGCCACTTGCTACTCGGAGTTGGGAAAGGATACACATCGACTACGCCAAATACAAAGGAGAAAACTTCCTGCTCATCATCGACGCCTACTCTAAATGGCCAGAGGTATTCCGCACGTCTTCGACCACCTCATCGCAGACAATAGCGAAGTTGACGGAAACTTTCGCCCGGAATGGACTGCCCGAGATCCTCGTCAGCGACAACGGCACTCAGTTTGTCAGCAGCGAGTTTAAGGAGTTTTGCCAGATGAACGGAATCCAGCACCTTACAACCAATCCTTACTGCCCATACAGTAACGGACAGGCTGAGCGTCTCGTGGATTCACTCAAGAGGTCACTGGACAAGCAAGGAAGCGCGATTTCATTGGACAATGGTCTTCAGCGATTCTTGGCGAACTATCGCACCATTCCAAATGAGAATTCACCTGATGGCAAGTCACCTGAAGAAGTGTTCCTTGGAAGGCAAGTGCGTACGATCTTTGACCTGCTCAAATTTCGTCCTCCTTCCACTCCTCGGCGCAATAAGAAGATGGAAGACCGGTACAACAAGAAGCACGGCACGAAAGCGCGCTCATTCCAAAGGGGGGAGGAAGTCTACGCGCAGAAATTCTCACCTGGAGGAAAGTTTTCTTGGCAATCCGGGAAAATCATTGAACGCCGTGGGACTGTGAGCTATAATGTGCGTCTCTCAAACGGAATCATCATTCGCTCGCACATTAATCAGCTTCGCCGACGTCTCGTGGAGCCTGAGCCCATCTTAGACTCACTGCCGATTTTCACCACACCATCCGTGCCAAGTCTTCCACCGTCTTCCCCTATTCGACCGAGTGAGACATCGAATATCACATCACCAGTGATATCACCGAGAAGAAGCCCTTCTCAACCAACACCAAGGCAAACGACACCTGTCGTTTCAACCCAGGATTCAGAGGCAATGGACACATCGGAGCCCACGTTCTTCGGATTTGAGGACTCACCACAAGCTGAATTAGAGCCCATAACATCTGAAAATCAATGCACGCCTGACGCACCAATTTCAACGCCTCAGAATCAACGCCTTCGTCGTGCACGTCCGCCGCCTGGCTATTACAAGGAGCGAAGCCAAGGACGTCGCCTTCTTCCTTAGGGGGGAGGTGTTACAGAGAGCACCCTGTAATCGAATAGGCCTAGTGATCTCGTATCACGGCCTGAAAAAGCTAATTGTCAAAGCCACTTCCTATTCGACTCTCTTGCCAAGTGCATCATCATATATTTCGCTCTGTAAAATCAAACACATTTTATCTAAAATTTATATCATAATTGAAGTCTCATTAAATCACCTTTAATCAAGCAATTCTTAGCCTTTTTAATCGTGAGTGGATATTGGGTGTCGTAGCAGTGGACCGTGAGATAGTGAAGATCTCGGCGACGTAGTGGGATACACGAAATAACATAATATAATTCCCAGGTACGTGAGACCACGCCACAACAGATTACTAGACAAATCGCTTAAAACCACCAGAAAATGCGAATTTATATGAGCAAATCTCTGACACAGTTCTCAGCTTGACAAACACTCTGGAACTGAATCCCTCTTCCCGAAGGCCGGAAAAACGCCGGAAGCCTCCTGCAGGATTCCTTTAAGAATCCTGCAGCCGAATTCCCTCTTCTCGAAGGCCGGAAAAACGCCGGAAGCCTCCCGCAAGATCCCACCACGAATCCTGCAGGCAAATTCCCTCACCCTGAGTGGCTGAGACACTGGAAGCGCCGGGACGAAAGATTTGCCATGACGGATTAATGCAGGAATCTTGCGGGAGAATTCCACCGCAATTCCTGCATTTCAGAAAGATTTTTAGATTCAAAAGTAAATTTATTTTTAGCTTATACTATGTACATATTTGTCCCTGTTGCTTATTTACTATGAATCCTTCCAGGGCTATAGCCTGCTGCTATTCTACTGTTGTTTTTTTTTGTTTTTTTTTTGTAATTCATTATGTACTTTTTATTTTAAGTTATTGTTTGTTTGGTGGAGTGGGAGGAGATGGGCTATGAGCATGTTTTTAATTTTTAATCTAGTATGATTGGAGATTGATATCTTTTAATTCTTGTATTGAATCTACTTTTCTCTATGATATTGTTAATAATTCTGTTATTGATGTTTTCAAATTTGCTGTATGTGCGTTTTGCTATATCTGTGCTAAATTCTTCTAAGTTTTCTATTTCTGCTTCTTTATAGACTTTTTCATTTTTTTTTTTAATTTTTTTGTTTCGTCATCGATACCTGCATTTAAGGCCATTCTTAGGCATTTTGTCTCTATTACTCTAAGTTTTTTCCAGCGACTTTTGGAAATAGTGTTCCATATTTGGCATCCATATGTTAATATGGGTCTGATAAAGATTTTGTAAATAGTTCTCTTTGTTTTTGTGTGTAATTTGTTGTTTTTCTTTAGAAATGGGAATATGCTTTTTATTGCATTTTTGCTTTTTCTTATTACGTTGTCTGTATGTTCTATGTAGTTTAATTTTTTATCTAATGTGATGCCTAAATACTTTGTACTTTGAACTTTTTTTATCTGAATATTGTTGATTTTTACGTTATATTTGTCATCTATTTTTCTCTTATTTGTAAAATTGATCATTTCTGTTTTGTTTTAGTTAATATTTATGCGCCATTTTCTAAAATAGTTTGAGAGTTCGTTTGAATATCTTTGGAGTTTGTTACAATTTTCTTCTATTGATGTACTAGTTGTATAAATACATGTATCATCGGCAAAAAGTAATAGTTTACATTCATTATCCTTAGGTATATCATGAGTAAAAATGTTGTATAGGGTGGGAGATAGAACTGCTCCTTGGGGGCAACCAGCGGTAATATTTACAATGTTTGATTTGAAATTCTTTACTTTTACAAAAATTTGCCTATTTCTTAAGTAATTATGAATTAAGATTATTAATTTTGGCTCAAATTCTGCTTTAATTAATTTGTATATAATTGCCATATGCCATACTTTATCAAATGCCTTTTCGAAATCGAGAAAAATTGAAGTTGTGATTTCTTTGTTGTGGATTCCTTTCCTTATTTGTTCTGTGATGTTTAATAATGCATGAGTTGTGTTATGTGAATTTCTGAACCCAAATTGTTCATCTGGATATAAGTTTTTCATTTCTATTTGTGTTTTGATTCTGCTTAGTATTACGTACTCTATTACTTTGCTAAGTGTAAGTAGTAAGCTAATAGGTCTCATGTTTGCAGGGTAGTGAGCATCTTTTCCTAGTTTCGGAAAAGAGACCACCTGAGCTATTTTCCATATTTATGGAAAGTATCCAAAGTTGAGTATGGCTGTGGCAATTTTTGCTAATAGAATTATTACATTTCTTGGATAGTTTTTAATTACAATGTTTGGAATATTATCGTATCCTGAACTCTTATTGTTTTTTAATGATTTGATAATTTCTTTTATTTCTTTTGGCTTAATTGAATATTTGTAATTTTTATTGTAGTGTTCTTGTATGAATGTATCGATTGTGTTTTCTATTTCTCTGTTAAAAAGACAAGAAGCTCTCTGTGTGTTTGTATTATGTACATTAGAAAAGTGTGTTACTAACATATTAGCTTGTTCTTCAGGGTCATATATAATTTCATTGTTTGTTTCGTTGATTAGTGGAATATTGTTGTGATATTTTTTAAATGATTTTATGAACGAAAATTCATTTGTTTGATTTGGTTTGTATCGTTCTAACTTTTCTTCCCATTTTTTGTTATTATATTCTAGTACTTCGTTTTTGATTTTGGAGTTCAAATAATTAATTAAAGTTTTAATTTCTCTCCCTCCATTTCTTTTAAATTCTCTTCTTAGTTTATTGCGATGTCTTATCAAGTTTTTTATGTATTCAGGTAGTGGATCATTTTTCTCTTTATATTTAGGCGTACATTTTACAATTGTTTCTTTTGTTTTTTTCGTTAGTTGTTCTAATATTTCTTCTATTTGATTTTCGTTTGCTATGTGTTGAGTGTGATCTGTTGATTTTGTCAATATTTCTCTGAATAGTTTCCAGTTTGCTTTTTTAAAATCTAGTTTTTGATTTTCTTCCTGTTTTTTCATATCATTCTTTAATATAATTGATGTTGTTCAGGAGAACTTGAAGTGATATTCCTGGCCATGGTGCGCTCGCTCTCCCTATCGCAAAGTCGCACGCGACATAACGGATGATCAGATGCGATCGGGGAGAGCATTCACGAGCGCACCATCACATGCACTTTCTTTTTGGCGCAATGCGCATTTTTGGGCAAGTGTTGGCCGAACAGCTGGTGATTCAAGATCAAGGTCACCAGCTCCCATCAGTGGGACACTTGAGGGCAAGTGCACTTGCATTGGAGCACTGGAGAGTGTTAGAGGCAATTTTAATTTTCGTGTCGTGACCTTGTCAATGTCAAGCCAAGTTAGTGTTTAATTAAGTCTAAGGAGGAGGCTGTGCAGGTGTAGAAATAAGGCGTAGTGTAATTAGTGAATGAAAAATACATTTGAGTAAATTAAGGGGAGCAAAGTGTTTGAGTGCATCGGCTGGAGTTGTGAGGAGCTGAGAGACGCCACGTTCTCGCGCCAAAGTGCAGTGGAGACCAGAGAGTGGAAAATTTCCAGCGATCAGCGGCCCACGAGAAGGATTTTTTTAATCCTTCTCCCCTGATACGCTAATAAGGCGATTTCCATCTCTCCCACAGGTAGGAGAACCTCGCGAAGCCCCAGAGAAGCGCTGAAGGGGCTAATATATGATCCTTTCTTCATCTCTTCAAGGTGTGTAATTGATAGCAGGGCGTTGTGGAGGAGATTTAATTGCTGTTTGCTCTGCCGCTAAACTATTAAGGAATTTCCTTCTTGTAATTCAAGGTTGGTGACCACAGATGTAAATACAGGTAAATGGTCTGAGCTTAGTTCTGTTAATGTTTGTGGTTGCGATAGATTAACATTTTTGGTTATAAAATAGTCTAAGAGGCTAGGTCTTTTAATATTACTATTTGGAACATAAGTAGGATTATTTGGTATGTTAAGTTTTACGTGATCTTTTTGTAAGAATTTGTCTAATATTTTTCCATTTCTGTTTGTACTAGAGCATAGCCATTTTGTGTTTCGACAATTAAAGTCTCCTCCCACTATTACTTTTCCACCAATTTTAAATAAATTTACTAGGTCATTTTCTTCTAAGATATTATTAGGTCTTAAGTAAATATTGATCACTATTATTTCGTCTTTTTCTGTATATATTTTTATTCCTAATGTATTCGAGAATGAAGAGATTTTCCCGGTATTGATCACTTTGTGTGTTAAATTATTTCTTATCACAATTGCATTTCCCCCTTTTTGTAGTTCTTCATTGTCATTTCGATATACAGTCTTTTAATTTGAACTTAGTGTTAGGTTTTAGGTTTGTTTCATTTAATAAGGCAATGTCTATTTTATAATTCAACAACATATCTTCTAATTCTCTTGTTTTATTTTTAACTCCATTACAATTAAATGTAATTATTGTGTAATTCTTGGTATTGCTTGTCGTGTTTATTTGCATAATGCCACTACAAAATCAATGAGAGCCATTTGTTTGTCCAGTTTTTCTGTTAATTCATTGTATTTTGGCAAGAATTCTTTGATCTTTAAGACTACAATAGCCATTGGAGTTCCGAATAGCTCTTGGAATTCGCCATTCAGAAATCCAAAGTCAGATGTGTTATCAATGGTTTGTAAATTCATTTGTTTTTGTGTGTTTGCCTGAGATATCATGTGGGCGAAACTTACATTTTTGTTGGTGTATTGATCAGTGTCATATTGTATTGTCCGCTGGTTGCCCCCCCTTAATCTGGATTGTTGTAGCTGCAGTTGTCTCTGCTTCTTGCTCTCTATCAGTTTTTGTCTCCGTTCGGTGTATCTCTTGTATGCTTCGCACTCTCTGTACGACGCCACGTGGGGTTTTTTGCAATTTGGGCATGATGGAGTTGTAGACTGGTTCTTCTGGTTACAAAGGGCGATTTCGTGTTCTCCGCTGCAAAGAGGGCATCTCTTTTTCATGAAGCAGTTTGATGTTTCATGTCCCCAGCGTGAGCAAGAGGAACAGAAGGTCCCGTTGGATTGTCTGTGATTGTACTTCTCCCACTTG